ACCAACAGAAAAAAGAACAACAGGCATCAACGGGCTGGAAGCCCCAGCGGGGCCAGAGGAGGGGTGTGGGGGAGGGAAGTGGGCAGGGGTGCGGGGAGGAGACTGTCACTAGAGACTGGGACGTCTGGAGTGGAATTTCAGAGGTGGAGCAGTTTCGGGTGATGACAGGGACCCGGGTGTGGTCTCGGGGGTGGGTGGCAGGGCTGTCAAGGAGCCAAGTCCCCAGGGTGTTGGAGGCTGAAGTGCTCGTGCCCAAGTCTTCATTAGTAAGGGTGGAACCCTAATAAAATGTGGACACACATGATCCAGTCTCAGAACAGTATAGCTAGCACCAGAAATACAACCCACCAGCCAAAGTAATTAACAAGCAATTTCATTCTTTAGTCACACCTCCCTGACGATTTAAATGAAGTCAAGTACATAGTTCAAAGGCACACTCATTAAACCCCCCTTTCCTCTCTTCTCTTTCTTCATGCCCCGAAGCTACTCAATTTCCATCTGCCACCAAAAAAAAAAGAAAATAAAAAACGCTCCTCCTCCACATCTAGCTCAACTCAGCAGCTACTTTCCCATGGGGAAGAATCACTCTTCCTCAGGAAGGGAAGGCAGGGAGGAGAAATTGGATCAATAATTACAGGACTCTTGGTGCAGGGGGTGGGGAAGGGAGCAAGGAAACATCTCTGTGCCCAGCCTCTCACTGACCATTTTTATCCCATCAAAAGGAGAGTGACCTACTACATATGAAATAGATAACTAATAGGGACCTACTGTATGGCACAGGGAACTCTCCTCAATAGTCTATAATGGCCTACATGGGAACAGAATCTAAAAAAGAATGGATATGGGGCTTCCCTGGTGGTCTAGTGGTTACGAATCTGCCTGCCAAGGCAGGGAATGTGGGAAGATTCCTGCTCTGGGAAGATTCCACTTGCTGGGGAGCAACTAAGTCCATGCACCACTACTGGAGCCCACGCTCTAGAGCCTTCAAGCCACAACTACTAAAGCCGGGGCACAGAGAGCCCAGGCTCCGCAACAAGAGAAACCCCCACTGTGTGTGTGTATAACTGACTCACTTTGCTGTATGCCTAAAACTAGCACATTATAAATCAAATATACTCCAATTAAAAAAAAATTAAGGAGAATGACCTAGGAGGTACATAGTAACAACTACTAGGGGACTTCCCTGGTGGTCCAGTGGCTAAGAGTCTGCACTCCCAATGCAGGCGGCCCAGGTTTGATCCCTGATCAGGGAAGTAGACCCCACATGCCGCAACTAAAACAGATCACACATGGAGCAGCTAGGGATCCCGCGTGCTGCAAGGAAGATCGAAGATCCTGCATGCAGAGACCTGGTGCAGCCAAAATAAACAAATAAATATTTAAAAAATAATAATAATAACAGCCACTGGGAGGACTGGCAGGTGATGATGCAAAATGAACACGAGTTTTTACATTCGTGGTCCTCAACTTCATGAGCCCTCTGCTTCAAGAGCCTCCATCTCAGAACCTGGAATTCGTGCTAAATAAGCAGAAACCCTAAGGCCAAAGCTCAAGCAGGAGCCAAACTATCTCTTTTCTGTAACAGACCTAGTAGGTTTTTTAATTTACTTTAACAAAAAACATGGACTTGTTTTATTTAGTATAATAAATCAAGCATTAACATTTTGAGGAAAATCATTCTGAGGCTGTCAACGGCATTGGTCAATTCTGGACCTTCCATTTTAAATCTAACAAAAGTTAATGTAAATTTAAATAATAATGAAGTACTATATTTTGCCCATTAAGTAGAAAAAAAGGTAAAATAATAGAACCAAATGTTGTTGAAGTTATTGGGGAAAAAGTGTATCCATACATTATTAGTATAATCCTTTTTGAGGAAAAGAGAGGATTCACAATCAACACTCATCAAATTCCACATATATTTATTCAAAAAGTCAATCAAAAGAAGAAAATCACATTTACCTTCTCACTCTTCACCTCTATCAACCCTCCAGGGCTGGGCACAGATCATCTTATCTTTTTTTCTAATTGTTATATTGTAGTAAAATACACATAATATAAAATTAACCATCTTAAACATTTCAAAGTGTACAGTTCAATGTCAGTTGCTGGTGTTGTTCAGTAGTTAGGTCGTGTCTGACTCTGCAACCCCATGGACTGCAGCATGCCAGGCTTCCCTGTCCTTCACTATATCCCCGAGTTGACTCAAATTCATGTCCATTGAGTTGGTGATACTCAATGTCAGTAACCTTCACATTACTAGGCAACCAGCCATCTCTGGAACTATTTTTATTTGGCAAATCTAAAACTCTGTTACAATTAAACAATAACTCCCAATTGCTCCCTCCCCTCAGGCCCATTCTACTTCCTGCCTCTATGAAAACAATTTGACTATCATATAAGTGGAATACAGTATTTGTCTTTTTGTGGGTGGACTTATTTCACTGAGCCTAATGTACTCAAAGTTTATCCATGTTGTAGCATATGTCAAAATTCCCTTCCTTTTTAAGATTGAATAATACTTAATTGTATGTTTATACCACATTTGCTTCTGGAAAAGGAAATGGCAACCCACTCCAGTATTCTTTCCTGGAAAGCTCCATGGACAGAGGAGGCTGGAGGGCTAGAGTCCACGGAATCACAAAGAGTCGGACACAACTGAGCATGTATGAATGCATGGGCCACATTTGCTTATTCACTCACCTGTTGAAGGACACTTGGGTGGTGTCCACCTTTCAGCAGTTGAGAATAATGCTACCATGAACATGGCTGTTCAAATACCTCTTCAGGATCCTGCTTCTAACTCTTTTGGGCATATACCCAGAAGAGGAATTGCTAGGTCATGTGCTACACTGTCTCATCTTTGGAGGGGGTGGGTGTGGCCTGGCTTCTGAATTAGAGGGTATTAGGAGGTTGGAGGGGATTGGCTGTGTGACCTTAGGCAGGACAGTTTCCCTCTCTGAGAGCAGTATCACGTTTCCAAACAGGGACTTTTGTTAACCAGACACATTCCCAAGCCAATTTTCCTGGGAAATTCTAATTCAATGCCTGTCTGGGACCCAGGAATTTGGAATTTTTTGAAGAGCCTCAGGTGATTTTTATCATCAAACAGGTTTGGGAATCACTTGACCCGAGATTTTCTAAAGACCCTTGCAGCTCTGACCTATGACTTCAGTGATTAAGAAACTAACCTGGAGTCTGACTGATTTCAGTTAAATTCCTGGTTGCCAGTCACCAGCACCACCTCAGTTTCAGCCCGTAAAGGAGGGTAATGGCGCCTACCCCAGGACTACTGCATGAAGTAAGTGGAAATGAAAGAAAATAAGGCTTTAGCATTTACCTAATACTCAAAACAGTCCTCTAATATCTGTGTTATTCCCAGTCGTCCGTTCCTTCAGCCTGACTGTTCCTCTCGCAGTGGGTGGGTTCCTGTCGCCACCTGGTGGTAAGACTAAGTCAGTGCACACACGCTGACTTCCCCTTTCCCCCACCGGTCTCTGCCCCAACTCCCACCCGGCCCATTCCATCCCAGGCTCACCCTACTCAGAAGCCTTAGGACCCTCCGCGAGGGTGGAAGATCAAGGAGGGAGGGGCTTGGGTCTGAGGCTCCCAGAGTCCATTCCACAGCCTCAGCCTAGGGATGGTGAGTCGTTGGCACAGCTCTGACTCCCTGGATGGTCCTGCAGAAGCCATTTCTGTCCTAAAAAGTGAAAGTGAACGTGAAGTCGCTCAGTCGTGTCCCACTCTTTGCGACCCCGTGAACTGTAGCCTACCAGGCTCCTCTGTCCATGGGATTCTCCAGGCCCCTACTGGAGTGGGTTGCCATTTCCTTCTCCAGGGGATCTTCCTGACCCAGGGATCGAGCCCGGGTCTCCCACCAGGGAAGCCCATTTCTGTCCTAACCCCTCCTTAATAGTAAGACTGGAGCTGAGTGCCAATTCTATGCTGGAGGTCTTATAGGTATCATCTCATTTGATCTTCACATAAAGAAGAGGGACTTAGAACCTTTCCCACAGATGAGGAAATTGAGACTTAGAGAAGGTAAGTGACTGGAACAAAATCACACAGCTTGCGATGGTGGAGCCAAATCTCAAGGCCAGGTGGATTTTTTTTTTTTTTAAGGATTTAATTTTTTTTTCCAGAAAGGAAGGTTACAGAGTTAGAACTTTTCACCAAAATTAATATAATGCTTGATTCTTCAAAGCAGCCACAGACTTTTCAGCTCTGGACACTCAGGTTATGCAAAAACCTTGTGAAACTGATTCAGCCAGAACCTTCATGCTTTCTCACTAAATAACAGTCAAAGCCAGGCGGATCTTAAACCATGGCTATTTCTATTAAGCTAGAAAGCCCACAAACTAGTGATTATCCGCCTTGGCTGGACACTGAATTCACCTGGGGAAGCTTAAAGAATACTAATGCCTGGGCTCCTCCCCAGAGATTCTGGTTAATTGGCCTGGAATACGGCTTCAGCTCCCCCCCTGAGTATTCTTGTGGGCAGCCAGTGTGAACCACTGCTCATTCTGTCTTCTGTTTCTTGCAAGGGCGCTGCTCTCTGCTCGATGGGTAACAGCAAACTTCCCCTAAACCATCTGGGCCCAGGTGTTCCCCTTGCCCCAGGGTCACAGGTGCCCTGGAGGGTGACAGCCACGTGACAGCCCCAGCCTGGAGCAGGAGACCTGGTTCTACCACTGAGAGGTAACTGGAGGGCGAGCTTCCGTGCGCCCCAGGACGCACTCGAGAGTCACGCCCGAGGGTGGGAGGCCCCGGGTTCTGCTGCGTGCTAGTTGTGTCGCCTTGGGCAAGTGACTGCACCTGTCTGTGAAGTTGCTGGTATGGAAAACATGTATGAAAGTAAAAATCGACGGCACAAAATGGCTAGGTATCAAATGAGCTAATTGATAGGAAACCCACTTAGAACCAGGCCCAGAACCCAGCAAGCTCTCAATAAATGTTACGGCTACTGCTGCTGCGCTTATTATTCCTCACTCCGACAACAGCACCCAGTGCGGACTGCTCACCGAGCGAACAGAAGAAGTCCTCTTTTGTTTTTCAGAACTACTGTTCCCGCAGATCACAGAGAGCCCCGCCCAGAGGCGGGCACAGGTACGAGCCGGCCAATCAGAGTACACCCATCCTAGGCCAGAGACAGATCCAGGGGTAAGGAAGGGACCACAGTGCAGCCAGTCAGGCCTCCGCTTGGGGGAGCGGATGAGCTCAGGGTCGTCTGAGGTCACCTTGCCCACGAATGCAGAGGAGAGCAGGGAGGGTGAGAGAGAGAGACTTGGGGACGCCTTTAGAGCCCCTGGACACAGCCATGCCAGAGGTGAGACTGCCTCTAGCTGACCCAGTTGAGGGGGCAATCAGTTCCCTTTGGCGCTTATGCTACTTTACACTGGGCTTCTGTTACCTGTCCCTTTCACGGCTTTAGGCTGGGTTCATAGTCCCTGTTCACCCTCAAGGATTCAGTTGAGAGGATGTCCAGGAAGTGGCTTCCTATGAGGAGGTTGCACCTGAAGGCAACTGTTAAATCATGGTAATTACCCATAAGTGATGGAGAAGGAAATGGCAACTCACTCCAGTATTCTTGCCTGAAGAATTCCATGGACAGAGGAGCCTGGCGGGCTACAATCCATGGGGGTCACAAAGAGTCAGACACAACTAAGTGACTAACATACACACAGACATCCATAAGTGAAAATCGCACAGCACAGAATTGCCCTTGACAATTTCTCATAGATTGAGGAGGACTAGAGAGACGTCACAACCTATGCAGTGTTTCCCTGAACCTATAAGGGCCATTACTGGGACAGTAGGAAAAACCTATCAGTCTTTGGCCAAGGGTATTCCAGAGTTCATTACACTATTCTTAAAACTTATGTGTCAATTTGAAATTGTTTCAAAAATTTAAAAAAAAAAACAACGCTGGAGGAAAAAATGAACATTGGAAGGGAAAAAAAGGAAAAGTTTTTGAAGTCTCATAAACCGCCTGTCAAATACTGTGCCTGCCACAGGCATACACCACATTGGAGACACAAATGGACTTTGAACAACACCCAGGGGGGTGTTCCACCAGGAGTAGAAGAATGCCATATCTCCTCCCCTGAGCACTAGGTAGAGAGACAGGTATTTAAGGGCCCATTTGTGCCAGAAATCTGTATCTTTAAACACTAGAAACACTAGAGTCACATGTTGCAGGATCAAGACAGAATAAGAAACAGGCAGGGTCTCCCCTCCCCATTCACAGTATCCAAGATAGTTCTTTGTCTCTCTCTCCCCATTTAGTTACTCTCACACACCATGGGCCCTGGAGAGGCAGCTGTGAACAGAATGGCCAAAGTCCCTGGCCTCAGGGAGCTTGTCTTCATAGCTCCTGTGACATCATTCAGAGACGTGTGGGGAACTACCCAGTGGGGAAATAGCATCCTTGTTTCTCAGAGACGGTGCTGTGCTGAGTGGTTCTCAGACTCAGGTGGGCATCTGAATTCCCAGAGGCTATGCCAGAATGCTGAAGGCTGGGCCCCAGCCTAGAGCTGCTGATGGTCAGAGGTGAAGTCTACGCATCCATGCTGCTAACCTGTTCCCGGAAATGCCGATGCTGCTGGTCCAGGGAACCCGCTTTGAGAATCACTGCTTTACTGCAAGGAGTAATTTCAAAAGTAAGCATTTCAGAACCCCCAGTAATATTATTTGTCATGTTCTCCTTTTCTAGAGGAGACATCAGTGCCCCGGTTTTATGCTCTGTCCCTCCCAACAACCTCATCTCACAGGCTATGCATTCCATGAGGAGAAAACCACGCTGGAACCCCATTTTCAGCCCCTTCAGCCAGCGCCCAACAACCACCAGGGCTTCATTCAGCAAATGCTCAAGAAGCCCTTCCATGGGCCACCCCGGTGCTGTTCCCAGGCTCTGAGCTCAGACAGATGGCCTGAATCCTGCTCACTCCCCGCCTGTCCTCCTGTGACACCCTGGACTGTGGCTTAATCTTCCTAAGCCTTTGTTTACTTATCCAAGAAGCAAGGATAAGACTAGGACCCTGGGGACTTCCCTGGTGGGCCAGTGGCTAATACTCCAAGCTCCCAATGCACGGGCCTGGGTTTGATGCCTGGTCAGGGAACTAGATCCCACATGCCACAACTGACAGTTCACATGCCACAGCTAAGAACCAATGGAGCCAAAAAAGAAAAAAGACTAAGACCCTGGCACTGCAAGTCTAGAGCTCACTGAGAGAAACTCCCTTCTAGAACAGTCTGCCAGGGGCTATGTGACACCAATAGCACCTTGATGGATAAAAGAAGCCCCAACCTTCAACAAAATAAAGCTGACAAAACACTGCCATTTCAAAGCCCAGACCTGTTTTCTATTTTGTAAGAGCCTGAACACACCTTCAGACAGCTGGAGTTCCCAGGTTTCTGAAAAGCCCACCTGAATGGATCCTTTCATGATACAAATTTACTTGGCCAGATTGAGAGACAAGCTCAGGGCAATAGGCTCTAAGCAAGGGGGATAACTTCCCTAAGGTCACCCCGCTGGGACATGGGAAAGCAGGATGCTTGGGTCTGTTTCTGGGTAAAATCTCCAGCTCTTAACCACTGCTTCAGACTTTCTCCAAAATGCCCTCTTTTCTCCTTTGCACCAGGCAGGCTGAGGCAGGGAGGGCTGGGTTCGAGTCGCTCAGGGACTGGGCCCTGGTTTCCTTATACATAAAGCACCACAGCTGACCTTGATAAGACATCGGTTCTGTGCCAGGCACTGTGCTAAGCACCGAGCATGGATCAATCCATCTGATTCTCACAACTTCCATAAAGTCGGATACAGTTATCGTCACCACTTTACCAGCTAGGAAATGGAGAGGTGAACTCATGTGCCCACCTGCCTTTCAAAGTTTCCACAGGGACTAGAGATAACACAAGGGAATCCCGCACACCTAGTAGGCGCTTGTCCATGGAATGGCTCCACCAAGCATCAGCTGTGTGACCTTAGACAAATTACTTAACTTCTCTGAGCCACGGACACACAGGTGTGCTATGAGAATCGAGTGAAAGCACTGGGCACAATGCCTGGCACACGGTAGGAGTCATCATTGATCAGCATCATAGTCATTGGTGGCAGCAAATCTTTGTCTTCTGAAAGTAGATTTAATTTTAGGAAACAGCTAAAATTCCAGTGGAATTGAGTCTAGTGACTAATGCCAATGGTCAAACAGAAATGCCATTTTTAGACCAGAACAAAGTGTAGTTATAAAGTCTCAAGCTTGTTTTTCTTTGTGGAGAGGTTTGGTGTTCTGGTGTCAGAGCAGAAGATACCAAAAGTTGTCTGTGTTCTTTTAAAAAAAATTTTTTTTGGTATTTATTTGAATGTTCCAGGCCTCAGTTGCAGCATTTGGGATTTTTTTTTTTTTTTAATTACAGCATGAGAACTCTTAGTTGCGGCATGTGGGACCTAGTTCCCTGACTAGGGATCAAACCCAGGCCCCCTGTATTTGGAGTGCAAAATCTTAGCCACAGGACCACCAAGCAAGTCTCTGTGTGTGTTCTTGACATGAATCTTATCACTAAACTCACACTCATTTTCAGCAAAATCTCGATGGCCAATACTAAACCTACCCATCCTTGGCCCAAATTTAGACATTGACACGTCTCTTAAGTGAAAAGTGAAAGTGAAAGTCGCTAAGTCGTGTCCGACTCTTTGCAACCCCATGGGCAATACAGTCCATGGAATTCTCCAGGCCAGAATACTGGAGTGGGTAGCCTTTCCCTTCTCCAGGGGATCTTCCCAACCCAGGGATCGAGCCCAGGTCTCCCACATTGCAGGTGGATTCTTTTTTTTTTTTTGCAGGTGGATTACCAGCTGAGCCCCAGGGAAGGCCCTTTTATAAAAAGACCCTTTTTATTCTTTTCTGTGTTCCAGTTGGCTACTTTCTGTTTCTATCATGATCTGAACCCAGACTAACTCTCCAAGGATTAAAAACATGTTACTGCATTCAAAGTGTACAATATGTGAATACATTCTCCTCAAAGTAACTATGTAAATGTTAAACTTTTTAATTAAAATTATTTTTCATGTATGTTTTGAAAAGTGACTTTTCCTCTAATATATTCAAAATGATATATTAAAATTTAAAGTCAAATATAGTTTACACTTAATAAATATCTCCAAATTAATCTAATTTAAATGGTTTTTTATAAGTTTTAATTTCATCTTATTTAACACTTTTAGGAAAACTGTTCTCAAAATAGTATCCAATGTTGCACTAGTTCCCAACATGAAGAACTGCTACCATGCTTCACAAGTCATGTCCAGACTTGTACACATTAATGTGAATTAATACTTGATAGTGTTTCTCAGCTGCCATGTGCAACGATTACAGAGCCAATGCTGATTCATGAAACCCTTCAGAACAGAAAAAAAATCGAGTAAACGGACACTTTATTATGCACGTAGAGATCACACCCACGCAACCCAACAGGAGAGATCTGAGAAGTGAATTTACCTTTTCTCTCACATAAAAGTTTCTGCTGCTCAAATCTGCCCCCCAACTCAGAAGCAGAGTCCACCTCTGGTGTTGGCCAAAGCTCAGCCCACACACCTCCTACAGGCAGGTTCAGGAATCTTTGCTTTTGAGAAAAGTGGGCAAGAGACACAGAGAAGTGTCTCTGGGACTCCAGCAGGGTTAGAACCTTGGTGCTTAGGTTTACAGCCCGCTGAGCCCCAGGCTCCCTGTGGTCCTCGGCTAGGATTTGTTTGGGGTTAGAGATTCCCTCTGAAGGGCGGTTGTTAGGCAGGGTCACTGCGGTCCTGGTCGAGGGGGCTACAGCACCCACTACCCCATGGTGCCAAGTTCTCTGTTGCTTGGAAACATTTTCATAAGCTGTGCCCTTTACCTGGAACATTCTCTTTCTTAGTCTTTCAGGTCTCAATTTAAAAATCCCTTTCTCAAGGGCTTCCCTGGTGGTCCAGTGGCTAAAACTCTGTACTCCCAATGGAGGGGGTCTGGATTCCATCCCTGGTCTGGGAATTAGACTTCACAAGCTGCAACTAAGAGTTTGCACGCTGAAACTAAGACCTGGCCCAACCAAATATTATAAATAAATAAATATATATATTTTTAAAAATTCCCTTCTCAGTCCCATCTATCCTCTAAATCCAGACTGGTCCCCCTGCTATTCTCATGGAACCCAGTTCTTTCCCTTCCTGGCAATTGTTAGAATTAATAATAATGATATCATTATAACTGGGCTTCCCTGGTTGTTTGCATATTCATGGCTTTGCTCTCTTCCATTTCTCACAAGAATGGAAGTTCCATGAGGGCAGGGACCACATCCTTTTGTCCATCACTGTATAACCAGTGCTGTTTGGCACAGAATTGGTACCCAGGAAATACTTGCTGATGACTCTCAACTGTGAGTTCCCTCACCTTTTGTATCAAGGTGTTACTATCTGCCTCAGTGGAGCGAGAATGGGAACAGTATGATGCACAGTAGGTGGTCAATAAATGCTACTCCTGTTACCACTCATTCAGAGGCAGATGAGGACTGAGGAATCTTAGCAGTGGGGACTTAAGGGCTATTTAGGGTTGGATGTGGAGAAGGAAATGGCAGCCCACTCCAGTACTCTTGCCTGGAAAATCCCATGGATGCAGGAGCCTGGGAGGCTACAGTCCATGTGGTCGCAAAGATTCGGACACGACTGAGCAACTGAGCGAGGGTTGGATGGATTTCGTGGAATACGGAGGGCAACCCAGGAGAAGGGAACAGCTGCAACAAAAGTATGGAGGAGAGAAGGTACAAAGACAATAAGTAAACCTACAGGGCTGGATGGAGAGCAGGGTTTGAGAAAGCCCTGTAGTGAGAAAGGCAGACTGGGGCCAGGTCACGGAGAGCTTTGAACACCAACCCAGCGCACTTAAAGCTGATCATAGGGACCCAATGATGATTTTGGAGCAAAGGTGTGAACTGAAGAAGTAGCATTTTAGGAAGATTATGTATGGCAAATTGGGACCAGATGGACCAAGGATGTGGAGAAAAACAAAAAGACTATTTCATTCAAATTCCATCTAATCATTATGACTGTATAAAATATAAAAGGGTTAAGAGCAAAAGCTCTGACAGAAGACAGTTCTGGTTACCATCTGGCCGATACTAAGCAGGTCACTTCACTTCTCTGGACCTCAGTTTCTCCACCTATAAAATAGAAATAATAATAACCTGTACCTCAACTGTGTCACTGGACTCTTGTCCAGTGAAAATCAAATGAAATAGGGAATTCCCTGACAGTCCAGTGGCTAGGACCCAACACCTTCACTGCTGTGGCCTGGGTTCAATTGCTGGTCAGAGAACTAAGATCCCACAAACCTTGTGGGCAGAAAAGGAAAAAAGTGCTCACTAATTTACTCATGCAAAAAATGAACCCCAACCATGTGTCAAGCTGTGTTGTAAATGCTGAGGAAACAGAGATGAATCTAAAGTGCTCTGAAATGGGGCACATAATTACCATTTTTTTGTCTTTTTTTTCTTCTAATTACTGATTTTTGAACGTTTACCGTATGTAGCTTTCCACCTGTCATCTCATTTATCCTGCACAACACCCCTACCAGGTCAGTGCTGTTGTCAAACCCATTTCATAAAATGAGGAAACGGAGGCTCAGAGAGGTTAAGTCAGCCACCCAAGGATGTTCAGCTCTTAAGCAGCAGGGCTTAAGCCTTGTGCTCAGGGCTGGCTGACCCATGCCAGAGAAATACGTCTGTTTCCAACCATCTTGCTGTTCCCTTTCCAGCTATAAACCATCCCACCTTTTCTTTTTCCTTTTTCTTTTTTTTGACTGCAGAACTCCCCTCACCTTTCAAGTTTTAGATCAGGTTTCAGGAAGCCTCTAGGACCCCCAGTTGGGCCCCTCTTCTGGGCTTCCTCTGCACTTAGCCAAACCTCTCCCATGATATTAATCATACCAACACTACATTCCCTTGTCTCTAAGCTTTTTAAAAAGCACTTTCCAGGACTTCCCTGGTGGTCCAGTGGTTAAGACTCTGCACGCCCAATGAAGGGAGCATGAGTTCAATCCCTGGTGAGGAAACTACAATCCCTCACTAAGATCCTGTGTGCTGCAAGGCAAAAAAAAGACCAGCTGAATCAACAGAACTTAAAAAAAAAAATTCATAAAAATTAACTAAAATGTATTTTAAAAAGCATGTTCCTTATCGTAAGTAAACATTTACGTTTACACCCAGAATATAGGCATATTTCTTTATAAAGTATATACACATGCATCTGTCTATCTATATACATTAAATATTAGTAAATCCTGATTCTTTTTTTTATGAAAAACAAAGATACATACAGGATCTGATCTCATGTTTTCTTCCCATGCCCCATTTACCACCAACAAATTACAAATCAGCATCTCTAAGCCAAAGCTCAGGGCGTGGGGGGACCTGTTACAGGGACGCCAATCTTCAGGCCGCTGGGGATCTGACGTCTCGTGAGTTCAGCCTCTTCTCTTAGTGGGCCAGGCTGGGGGGAGGGGAGGGTGCTCTGGGCAGGAGCCCCTCCCACAGTCCTGCCACCCTCTGGAGCCTGCAGGAGGTGGGGGTGAGACTGAGCCTGGATTAGCTGGGGCCAGCGGCAGGGAAGCTTCTAGAGCTGCAGGGCAGCCAGAGAAGTGGGTGCAGCCAGGCGCGGGCACCATGCCGCTGCAGGACGACACCCTCCGAGAGGTGTGGGCCTCAGACAGGTCTGGAAAGCCCCCACCTCACTCTACCTGAAGCCTGGGGGGGGGCTCAGATGGAGGGTTTGGGGAGGGAGACAGGCTGACGCCTTTGCCACCCTCAGCGGTCACGAGGAGGAAGGCCAGAGCCCTGAGGTCCGGCAGCGCGCCAAGCAGGTATGTCACCCGGGTTGGGGAGGAGACGAGAGCCCCCCACGCAGCCCAGGGGGTCTGGGAGCCAGGCCCGGCCCCCCTCAGCAACCTCTGGGGGCCCCTACTTCCCTGGAAGTTTGGGCTTCGCTTTGTTCTTGCAGGAAAGGGGTGTTTGGGGGGCATAGGGTGTCCCGGGGAAGAATCTGGGCTTTGGGACATTGGAGGTGGCCATGAGGCGTGGGAGGGAGTCGTCCATCCACGCCCCAGGAAGGAGCGCAGTTCCCCTCCCGGTAATCCGCGGTTATTTCTGGCGGCTCAAGGGATTAGAGGGTGATGGGCAGCCCTCAAGGCCCCCCCCCCCCCCCGCCACGTCTTTCCTTCCTCTCCCTCCTCTTGACACCCCTACTCCGCAGCGACAGAAGTTGAGGAAGAAAAAGCCAGAAGCCCCAGAGGCCCCCTGCCCCACGGGATCCAAGCCCCGGAGACCTGGAGGTGGGCGGGGGGCGCGGGGCGAGTCCCGGGACACCCCCCAGGTGAGGGGCCCGTGAGGGAAGGCCCGCAGGTGAGGCACGGGGGGTGGGGGTGGGGGGCTGAGCTGGGGGATAGGAAGAGTGGAAGGATGAATGAAACCCGGGAGAGCGGTGTCCAAAGTGAAACAGAGCCCCGGGGAGCCCCCAGAGTGAGAAGCCCGAGGGGGCGCGGGCACCTTCGCAGGAAGGGGTGGGGGATCCCTCCTGACCCGCGCATCTCGGCTCAGCCGGGAGGAAGGGGAAGCCGCGGGAGGAGGCCGCGCAGGGACCGGCTGAGGCCCGGGCAGCGCAGACGGTCTACACCAAGTTTCTCAGGGACCCCGAGGCCAAGAAGCGCGACCCCCGGGAGACCTTCTTGGTAGCCCGCGCCCCAGACGCCCCGGACGCGGAGGACGGTGAGCGAACCCCGAGGGAAGGGGGCGGCTGGAGAGGAGGGGTTGGACAGGAACAACAGACAGAGACAGACAACTGGGGGAAACAGCGTCTGGGTCCCTGGCCTTGGCTCTGAACTAGGAAACCCTTTATGCTCGTGTTCCTGTCCACATTTTCCGGATGGGGAAACCGAGGCACAAAGGAGCGGTTAGGAGCTCTGCCTTAGACTACCGCTAGGGGCCAGCCGGAGCTCAGATGGGTCTGGCTGGGGGTTAGAAAGAGAGGCAGACCAGGGTAGGGAGAAGCAGAGTGGGAGAAGCAGGCACGTGTCTCATTAGAAGGGAAGAAAAAGGGGAAACTGAAAGATGCCAGGAGGGTGTGCGACAGCCAGGGAGAGAGGAAGGACCTGCAGAGAAGTGCATTTTCCCAGAACAGGATCGCCAAGCCCCCAACGTACCCCCGACTCCAGCTCTCGTGCGACTTGCACACCGTGGAAGACTTTGGGGTCACCCATTCTTTGAGACTCTTCCTCCTGTTTCTGTCCCAGAGGGGAGCCTCCTACCCCTGGCTCCTTCACTGCCTCCCAGCAATCTGGAGAGACTGAGCCCCGCAGAGATTAGAGGACCCACCCCAACCCCCATGTTGATGAATTTCTACCTACAGGGGATGAGGAGGAGGGAGAGGAGGACCTGGAAGATGAAGACGAAGAGGAGGAAAAGAAGGAGAGAGTCCGCCTGCCTCCCAAGAAAGCCGCCAAGGAGAAGGCTTCTACAGACATAAAGGAGAGGAAGACCAAGGCCCAGGGTCCAAAGGGTGGGTGTTGAGGGTCCAGAGGGGGCAAAAAGACACACAAAACTGGCCCCAGAGGGGCCTGGGGGTTCATAGACGTGCAGGGGTTGAGACATCAGAAAGTTACCAGGTGCCTGGACCCAAGTGTTCCACCCTTTGGTGATTTCTTCCCTCTGCATGCTGCATGCCAAGTCACTTCCGGGGGGGCACCAAGCAGCTCCGTGGACCGCGGGGCCTCAGCGCAGCCCTGCATCTGGCCGCCCCAACCCCCCCGCCTGCCTCCAGCGGCGCCAGTGTCCCCGTGTCCTACTCTTTGCAACCCTATGGACTGTAGCCCGCCAGGCTCCTCTGTCCATGGGATTCTCCAGGCAAGAATACTGGAGTGGGTTGCCATGCCCTTCTCCAGGGGGTCTTCCCAACCCAGGGATCAAACCCACCTCTCTTGTGTCTCTGCATTGACAGGCGGGTTCTTTACCACTACCACCACTTGGGAAACTTCTTCCCTCTAATGATCCTTAAATTAATATGCACCCCCACCACCATCCATCCCCCCAGCCCCCTGCTCAGGGTGTGCTGAGCCAGGGAGGGCAGAGGATTTTCATGTTCTTGGTGAGTTTTTAAGTTTTGTTTTTAACTCAGTATGAATTATATTTATAATTTTTACAAAAGTATCAAAGCGATTATAATAAAAATCAATCAGTGAGTAAATACTGTGATGGCTTCCTGGCTGGGCACCTTGTCCGACGGGTCCTGGGGTCTGGTGTAAATGTAGACACATAGCTAGGACCTGGGGCCTCTTGAAGGGAGAGGACTGTCTGGAGCTCTGACCAGAGAAAGTTTGGAGGTTTTTTGAGGGAGATGGGGTGGGAGCTGGTATTCAGAGTTTCCTTAGAAGGCCTGGCATTCATTCATTCACTACTTACTAAACTCTTGGTGTTCGTTCTGTTCCTTTTAGACTCAGGGTTAAAAACAAGATAGGCAGAGGGGCTCTGGGCCTCCCAGGGGACTGAAGGGACAATGAGTGCGGTGGAAGGTGTGACTCTTCCTTGTCTAACCCCCACCCTCCCTTTCCAGGAGATCTGGGAAGCCCTGGCCCCCCACTGAAACCTCTGCGAGTTAAGAAAAAGGAGGCTCCAGCGGGGGAAGGGACCAAGATAAGAAAGATGAAGAAGAAAGGTGAGCCTGGTGTCCGGAGGAGCAAGGGTCTCTGGGGGTGTGTGTGGCGGGGGTGGGTGGGCTGTGACCCCTTCACTTCCACACAAGCAGGGTCCGGGGAGGCTGACAAGGACTGCTCCGTGAGCCCAGGCAGGGTGAAGAAGACACCAGCGGCCATGTTTCTGGTTCCCGGGGATGGCCCGTTGCAGAAAGCTCTGAAGAAGGGTGGGTGGTGAGCTTTGGTGAGCTCTGGTTCCCGGGCGTCCAGGGGCACAGTTAGTTGTCACTGTGGAGGGGCGGGTGCGGCCTAGATGGGGTAAGGAGGAGGTTCTCAAGTCGGAAGACTTGGGGACACCTTGACGCCCACTTGAATAAGCCGTGTGGCCTCAGGACATGGTCTTCGCCTTTCTTATTCCTCTCCAATGATAGTGAACTGGGATTGCTCCCCTGTGGCTGTGGGAAGCGTCCAGGTGAGGCGTGGGTGTCCCTTGTAAACTGTGATGTGCCCCTGCCAGGGTAAGGGGTGAACAGGCTTCCCCTCCACCCCCAGGCACTCCCAAAGGCTCCGAAGAGGAGAAGAAGGAGGACGGGGAGGAGGAAGAGGCGGCCGCGGTGGTGACCAAGAACAGCAATCAGAAGGGCAAAGCCAAGGGAAAAGGCAAAAAGGTGGGAGTGCAGAAGGGAGAGGGTGACGTCCCTGCTGGGAGCAGTGGCAGGGTCTGGGGGACCTGGGCGTGGGGCCTCGTGTGCTGAGGCCATGGAGTCCCTTGGGGTTAGAATTCTTAGCTCCCTCTTTGGTGACAGGATATGAGGACAAAGGGAACCAGGTTTGTAGGAATAGAAGAGGCAGTGCGGGGTCAGCAGGCTGGGACTGGCCACCCCGGGGCCTTATGCTGTCTGCCCTGAGCCCTCCCCACTGCAGCCTAACCATCAGACACAGCCAGAGGTGCTTGCATGGCCCCGCATGAACACACACACATTTTCTGTACCAGGAGGTGAAGCACAGTCAGACAGGCACCGCATACACAGCCCTGGGCACAGGGACTGACCGACGGCCCGCTGACTGTGAGTTATTAAAACAGTTCCACCCTGCTGCTCTGAGACTGCTCAGAATGCTTCCTCCTCTCCCACCCAGGACCTCCTTCCAGCAACCAAACTATCCAGCAACCAGAGGGTTAACACTGGCCCTCAAGGGCCTCCAGGACCCTCCTCTGGGCCTACCCTGTCCATTCTGATTGGGCAGTCTCCGGGGGCAGACCCGCGTTGTTAAATATATTGAATGCTGCCCCTCCTCACAAACAGGACTCAGGTACCAACATGCACAGGCTGGAGTAAGCAAGAGAGAGGGGTCCAGCTGGAGAAAGTGATGAAAGCCTTTAAGAAACACGCTTCCAGGAATGGAGTGATCACCCTGAGGGCAGGGCCTGGGGGGTGAGGGTGGGGTCTTGGCTTTGTGGGTCTATTCCTTTGTACAAGCATGGTCAGGTCTCCACGGACTGATTCACATGGTCGAAGATCACCAGATACTGATGTATAAACTGAAAGCCCAGTTTATTATCTTCCAGAAAGAATATGCAGGCATGCAGAGCCTTTAATATAGTAGACCCTTGAAATTCACCATGTAGAAATGTTTAAATGAGTTCCGGCTTTCTCCATACCACATTCCAAACATAGTCCTGAGTTTCCCAAGTTTCTTCTGCAGCAGCCTAGAGTGGAGAAGAGATGCCCACTCCCCCGGAGGTTAAGGGCCCGCTGCCCAACACCAGCCTCACTCCACACACAGTGCAAACCTGCCTTCAGCAAAATGGGCAACCTCAGCCCACCAGGGCTTCTTGGTGGCTCCCAGAGAGCATTTACTCCCCAAATGCACATACCCAGGTGGCAGTCCCATCTCTCCCCTGCTGAGAAAGTTGGGGTTAGAATCTTGGTCGCCCTTCCTGTGAGGGACAGAACGTGAGAGCAAAGGGTACTAGCCTTGTAAGAACAGAAGGCGCAATAGTAGGGTGATCATCAGGCCACCCTAGGGTCTAATGCAACCAAAGAGTTATTAAAAGTTTTCAATGAGCAAAATGAGCTTCTTTATTCATCTGTTGTATTGCTATGTAACAAGCCACCCCAAAACTTAAAACAACAATTCATCCTCTTAATTTCTGTGAGTCAGAAATCTAGGAACAGACTCACAGACTTAGAGAGCGAACTTATGGTGGCCAGGGGGAAGGATAGGGAGAAGGGATAGTTAGGGAGTTTGGGATAGATATGTACACACTGCTATATTTAAAATGGATAAGCAACAAGGACCTGCTATATAGCACAGGGAACTCTGCTCAATGTTATGTGGCAGCCTGGATGGGAGGGGAGTCTGGGGGAAAATGGATTCAGGTATATGTCTAGCTGAGTCCCTTCACCGTTCACCTGAAACTATCACAATAATGCTAATCGGCTATACCCCAATACAAAATAAAAAGTTTAAAAAGAAAAGAAATCTAGGAAAAAAAAAAAAGAAATCTAGGAGTAGTTTAGCAAGAGTAGTTCTGGCTCAGCGTGTCCCATGAAGTTGCAGTCAAGGTGTCAACTGGGGCTGCACTCATTCTCAAATCTTGACTGGAAATGGAAGATCTACTTCTAAATTGGTTTACTATCATGATTGTTGGCTGGAGGCCTCTCCAGAGGCTCCTTGAGTGTCCTTATGATGTGGTAGCCAATTTGCCTCAGAGTTCAAGAATGGCCCAAGAGACAGAGCAAGGCAGAAGCTGTAATATCTTTTATGACCTAGCTTTCAAAGTGACCGCCCATCACTTCAGCCTTATTCCACTGATCACAGAGACCAATGTGGGAAGGATCTACATTAGGGTATAAATGCCATCTTGGAGATTGGCTGCTACATTCACTGGGTATTTACTGTCTGCTAAACTAACAGGTGGCACTAGTGGTAAAGAACCCACCTGCCAATGCAGGAGATGCTGGAGACAAAAGTTCAATCCCTGGGTCAGGAAAATCCCCTGGAGGTGGGAACAGCAACCCACTCTAGTATTCTTGCCTGGAGACTCCCATGGACAGAAGCCTGGTGGGCTATGCTCCATAGGGTCACAAAAAGTCAGACACAACTGAAGTGACTTAGCACGCCTGCATGCACATAGTGACAGTAGTAGCTAACACTTCCATAACACCATGTGTCTAGAACACAGTAATCCATACCTTCAGCCTCACCTCAGTTCACGCCCTAAGAGCATCCATGTGATGGAAGGTCTTTCAACAGGCTATGCATCTAACAGAAGACTGAGCAGCATTCAACACCCAGCTTCACCTCTTACTATGTGAACTTGGGCAAGTTATTAAGCCTCTCTGAGCCTCAGCTTCTTCACCTGTATAAGGAGACCAACCACCTCAGTAGCTATAGATAAGAAGAATGATAATATTCCAAAGAGGAATATTTGGAAAGTGCATAGAATAATTCCTGGCACATCAGTAGACTTTCTATGAGTGTCTATTAAATATATAAGATCTGTCCCATGTATCCACCCCCATCCTGCATACTTAGATGAAAAGAACTGAGTCACAGTGTGGTTAAAAATTAACAAACTTAATAAACAGTTAGTGGTGGAACCAGGATTTGAACCCAAGCTGTCCGGCTCCAGAGCCTTGGCTCTTAACCACAAGCTAAACAGAATCTTAATAAAGCACAAGGCTCCCCACAGCCCGGTGAGCCTGGGGGAGGCTGAGGGGCCCCGGGCGAGCACTGGAGTCGCCTCTGTTCTTCCCCCCAAACAGAAAGCGGTGAGTTATCCTGCCTGCCTCCGGGCTCCGGACCTGCTGAGGGCTGGGGGAGACGGTGCTCTGGGGCTGACGCACCTTCTGCTCCGACTCAGAAGGAGGACAGGGCCCCATCCCCACCCGTGGAAGTGGATGAACCCCAGGAGTTCGTGCTTCGGCCTGCACCCCAGGGCCGGACGGTCCGCTGCCGGCTGACCCGAGACAAGAAGGGCATGGACCGCGGTCTGTATCCCTCCTACTTCCTGCACCTGGACACCGAGAAGAAGGTGGGTCGGAGGAGGGAGGGAGAAGGGAGAGGGGAGGGGCCGGGACCCGGGTCGAGAGCCAGAATGGGGGTGGGGGCTGGGGGACAAACGGGCCTTCCCCTCCCCGCGCTCCCCTCCCGCTCGCCTCGGTCTTCCAGCGCATCTCCGCTGCCCTCTCCCCAGGTGTTTCTCTTGGCCGGCAGGAAGCGGAAGCGCAGCAAGACCGCCAACTACCTCATCTCCAGCGACCCCACCAATCTGTCCCGGGGAGGGGAGAATTTCATTGGGAAGTTGAGGTGGGGCTGCGAAACTCTGGAGCCAGTCACCTCTGCCCCGCTGTGCGGAGTGCCCCCCACCTCAGACACTCTGGAATTGTCCCCCGGCCCCGGGCTTCTCTATACACATGGACACTTGTCCGCTTTGATGCAGTAGATAGATCACTTGGGGATCTTCTTCAAATGGCTCAGTGAGGGGAGTTCCCTGGTGGTCTAGAGGTTAAGATTCTGAACTTTCACTTTGGTGGCCTGGGTTCAATCCCTGATCTGGGAAACTGAGATCTGGCAAGTCCCAGGGAGAGGCAAAAAAAAAAAAAAAATTGGGTTCAGAGGGTCTGGGCTGGGAGTGAGTTTCTGCATTTCTAAGATGCACCAGGGTGATGCTCATGCTGCTGGTGCAGGGACCTCACTTGGAGTAGGGCATAAAGTCCAGGAAACAGGGATTATGCCTGTCTTGTTCATGGTTGAATTCCTAGCACCTGGCACATAGTAGCTATTCAATAAACAGTTACTAACTGACAGGACAAAATAGTCAGCACCTACCCTGTGTTATGTCTCCCCATATAGGTCATCCAATCCTCACCACAAATCTGAGAGATAAGGAGAAAGTGAATCTCCAAGTCAGGCTTTATTTATGTCTTTACCAAACACATATGTAAGGCCTACTTATGTGTCAGAGGTGTTTCTAGGTAACTTGCAAATATTAATGCATTCAATAATCTTATCAACCAAATTGATAGTAAATACTATTACCACGCCCATTTTACAGATGGGGAAGTTGAGGCTAAGAGTTTAAATCACTTGCTCGGGGTCATACAGCTAGTAAGAGCTTAGGTTTGAAAGCTGCCCAGTCTCCTTGTAGACCCAGGTTTTAAAGACTTCCTGCAGAAAGCCAGGGGCAGGGTCCTAAAACACACCCATGCTTGAGGCAGAAAGCTCTTAAAGCTTGGCTGTGAGGAGGGGTCTGGAAGAAGGGGTATGGAACCCCCTCAGCCCCACCCCCAGCTCCACCCTGCTTGCAGATCCAACCTCCTGGGGAACCGCTTTACGGTCTTTGACAATGGGAAGAACCCGCACCGCGGCGGCAGCACGGACGTGGGAAGCCTTCGGCAGGAGCTGGCGGCCGTAATCTATGTGAGAGCGCCCTCTGTCCCTCTGTGCCCTGCGGCAGGCCCCTTCCCTCGCTGGGCGGTCTAATGCGTATCTCCCTCCCAGGAAACCAATGTGCTGGGCTTCCGAGGTCCCCGGCGCATGACGGTCATCATTCCTGGCATGAATTCCGACAACGAGAGGGTGCCCATTCGGCCTCGCAATGTGAGCCCTGCACCTCCCTGACAGCCTTTCCCTGTGGGTCTTGCTCCCTGGTTACCGGCTTGTAACCCACTTCTGGGAAGCCGTGTGGGGTGGGGAGGGGGCGTTCCACCTGCCCCGTACCCAACCCCTGAGCACAGCCATCACCCCATCACAAATTCATTTTGGCCACTTGCACAAAGGATTCAGTTTGGAGGATTTTCATTGAACTCACTGAAACAAGCACAATAGGGTTGGTTGGTTGGTTATTATTATTTTTTTAATGTACATCATAATCATTCATTCATATATTCATTCAACACACATACACTGAGTACCAAGTATTAGTCGAGGCAACTGAAGGCATCATTGACAAAACGAAGATCTACCCTCATGAACCTGGCATCCCAGGGCAGGGAGACAGACAGTAGACAAAGACTGTAATAAGTAAGTAAATTGTGTAATGTGTTAGAAAGTGGTATTTACTGTGGGGGGCGGGGGGGAGGGAGAGAAAAAGTTGAGCAGGGAAAGGAGATGAGGTGCATGTCTGTGTAGGTTTCAATTTAAATTCAGTGGTCAGAGTGGGCCTCACTGAGCAGATGAAATTTGAAGGAGGTGAGGAGCAACCCTGCAGATATCTGGGAAAAGATCATGCAGGCAGGGAGAAGAGCCAGTGCAAAGGCCCTGAGGCAGGAGAGTGCCTGCTGAGTTTGAAGAGCAGCAAGGTGGCCAGGGTGGCTGGAGGAAGATGAGGTCAGAGAGGTGAGAGTGAGGGGCAGGTGAGCCTGTATAGCTGGTTTTTACTCAGAGCAACAGGAACTGCAGGGCTTTGAGCAAAGGAGTGATATGAGTTGACATAGTTTAAAAAGCAAAGGTTGTTTTTTGTGTGTGTGAGGTGTAGGGCAAAATGGAGAGCTGGCCCAGAGCGAGGAGGCCTCCTTCAGTATGTCAGACCCACGCTTTGCCCCTCAGCACTGCAAGCTGAGTGAGCCTGGGATTTCAGAGACGGTCAACTGGCATGTCTCATACTCACAGTGATGTCACTTTACTCATTTACAATGAAAAAGAATACTGCCGTCAGCTGATCACACATCCTTCCCTGCTGGAAAGCCACACTGGAATAATCAGAGACCTGGCCAACCCATGGGGCACAAGCCCTGGGTGGCTCCGGTCTTTAGGAGCCTGTGTGTTCCACAACTGCTCCTCCCGGCCTGGAATAGACCACAGATCCTCCAAAGGCGGTGCCTCCCACGTGTGCTTGGGCTTAGTGAGAACTGACACCCAGAGCTGCTCTGAATCTCTCTTCATCATCAGTTCATTCATTCTACAATCATTTAGTAATGCCAGGTATTGAGGAAGGTAAAATCAATACAAGAGGTACCATCAAAACAATATCTGATATTTATTGAACTTTTACTCTGTGCAAGGGACTGATCGAAACAATACTTCATGCACTATTAATCATTTAATCTTCACAACACCCTGTTATGAGGGAAACTAAGGCACAGAGTTCAGTTCAGTTCAGTTCACTCAGTCGTGTCTGACTCTTTGTGACCCCATGGACTGCAGCATGCCAGGCTTCCCTGTCCATCACCAGCTCCCAGAACTTGCTCAAACTCGTGTCCATTGAGTCAGTGATGTAGTCCAACCATCTCATCCCCTGTTGTCTGTAAGGCACAGAGCCACTAGTCAAATACTGTGCCTGCTGTTAGGGTATCTAATTCTGTCCATAACAGTGCACCGGGAGAAATCATAAGAGCGAGGTGTTATGGAAATTCAGAGCTAAGACATTTAAATCAGACTTGGGGTCAGGAAGGCTTCTTGGAGGACAGAATTTTGAGTGGAGTCATTCTAAACCATGAACATGAACAGGTGACAAAGAAACCAAGAAAAGAAATACATGTCTTATACAGACCCCGCTCTTTCCTTCCAGAAACTCTTCCAGGACATTCTAACTACTCTTTACCTGTACACCTCTCGAAACTCAACTGTGAGCTCCTTGTAGATCCTAGAATATCTGGTTCATCCTTGTGACAGATGCCTGCGTGTGGCCCAAGACCCCTTGGGACCATTGGCACAGAGCCCCTCCTGTGTGGCAGATGCTACTTTTCACTTTCCAACCCTCCACTCCGGCGTCCCACAGCCAAGCCCATTCTCCCAGACGTACACCCTGGCCAGAAGGATGCCACAGACACCGTGGGTGTACTCAAAGAAACCCTGGCCACCATGGCCATTGACACCCAGGCTGCACACACATACGTGAGCATCACAGGTCCCCAGGCGCACCCCCCCCAGCAGTTCCACGATATCTCAGCCCACCCTCACCATCAAGCCCCTAATGTTCCCCACCCCTCACACCCCAGGCCAGTGACGGGTTGCTGGTACGCTGGCAGAACAAGACACTGGAGAGCCTCATTGAGCTGCACAACAAGCCCCCCATTTGGAACGAAGACAGTGGCTCCTATACCCTCAACTTCCAAGGCCGAGTCACCCAGGCCTCGGTCAAGAACTTCCAGATTGTCCACACCGATGACCGTGAGTATCTGAGGACCCAAACCAGGCTGTTCCTCACCACCTCCAAGACCTCAACCCTCACTCAGCTCTTTCCCTCCCCACTTCCCCCCACCACCGCCAGCCCTCTCTCTCTCACACACACTGGAGTGGAGCTGACTTTTATCCCTGGAACCAGACACTCAGGAAGGTCACTCTCTCCTGTGGGGGCACTCACATTGTACCCCCAAGGAGCCTCAGATATTCCAAGCAGCTGTCTTCAGGTGCATTGTTTTCAGGCCCTCGTCCTAGCATTGACCAGAGCCTGGGCAGATGCTGGGCTGTTCTGGGTAAGACTGCGTTGAAGGGACAGTTACGCTGCTAGAGTTTAAAAACCACTGAAAGGGCGTTCCCAGGCGGTCCAGTGGTTAGGACTTGGTACTTTCACTGCCATGGCCCTGGGTTCAATCCCTTGTCAGGGAAATAAGATACTGCAAGTGAAGCCTAAAAGCCACGAGGCTTTGCCAAAAGTAAAAGTTAAAAAAACAAAACTTATAGGCACTTCCCTGGTGGTCCTGTGGCTAAGACTCCACGCTCCCAGTGCAGGGGGCCCAGGTTTAACTCCTGGTCAGGGTACTCGGTCCCATATGCAGCCACTAAGACTCAGCACAGCCAAATCAATAATAAAAAAACAAACAAACAAAACTTATAGCCCAACCCCTGTGTGGCCAGAGAGGATGCCGAGGTTCAGAGAGGGCAGTCCCTTACCCAAGTCTCTCAGCAGCTGCAGGCAGTTACCCTGGCCCTCAAATTTTATTTCACAAACACACAGTGCTTTCTGTGGACCAAACACTGTTCTCAGGACTTCACAGATACTGATTCATTAAATCTTTTCAACAACCCTGTGAGGAAGGTATTATTATTGTCCCTACTGGAAGGACAGAGGAGGCTGGCGTGCTGCAATCCATGGAGTCACAGAGTGTCAGACACGACTTAGTGACTGAACAGCATTTGGCAGATGAGAAAACCGAGGTGCAGAGAGGTTGCGTAACTTACAGCTTGTGAAAGGCAGAGCTGGGGTTAGAACCCAGGGAGTCTGGCTCCAGTGTCCCACTCCTAACCCCATCAAGATGATTGTCTTTCAGGAGTAGGAAATATACGTCAAGCATTTCTATTCTTCTCTTTCCAGTGAGGTCAAAGGCTTGCCATCGTAGAACTAGGGAAAAAAGATACGCTCAGAACACAAATAAAAAGCCTGGGGGAGAGGTCCCCGCTAGGTTGAAGAGATTTGGATACGGAGCGGTATCTCCCAGGGATTTTCTAGGTTCCCAGGATTGGTTAACACTGAACAAGCTCCCCACCCCCACTCCATCCTAGGGATGTGTCCCCAGTGTCATCTGTCCTGAGGTCTTAAAAACCCATCTCCAGATCACATTTCTGGTGGAGCCTAGTCTGCCTGGGTTGGGGGGTATTTTTAGCAACATCCTGTCCCATGGATGCTGGGGGAAGTGTTGGGATTGGGGCTGGGAACCTGGGCCAGATGAGGCAGGGGCTGAGTGGGGGCACTGGTTGAGGTCATGAGGCTGGTGGTCTCAGGACTTGGGGTCTGGGATGGGGAAGAATGGGGTGAAAACAGCAGATGTTGGAAATGAAGGATTCTAGGCATAAGCAAGTTTGACTGGTTACTACAATGCGGGCAGATCATATGCCTAGCCCTGGGCAGTAGAAGGTAAGGCAGGGTCCTTGCCCTCAGGGGCTTACAGTGGTGGGTACAACGGCAGGCAGGCTTATTGGGTGAGATAGGAGGGTGCATGGATGGAGGGTGAATAACTGAGACAGTGGCTAAAGACTGGGGTCCCAGTGCAAGGGTGGGGGCGCCCTTCCGTCAATGATGAGGGCTTCGTCTGCCAGGACGGAGAGCCCACGAGGTCTCAGGCCGCCCCAACCCATGTCTGTGTCCATAGCCGACTACATTGTGCTGCAGTTCGGCCGCGTGGCCGAGGACGCCTTCACCCTAGACTACCGGTACCCGCTGTGCGCCCTGCAGGCGTTCGCCATCGCCCTCTCCAGTTTCGACGGGAAGCTGGCTTGCGAGTGATCCTAGTGACCTCCCCCAGGGCCCGCCCGCCAGGGCTGTGAAAAGGATTCACGTTGGAGGCTTGCACGGTCCCTTCACCAGAGCCCCTCGATGAAGACTTCTCCCTTGTCGGGGGGCTGACCCCTCACCGTCTCCGGGTGACCTTCATTCATTGCTCAGCCTGGCACGGTGTGTGGGGGGTGGGGTGGGGTGGGGGGAGGAGCTCAGACGGCGGGTCTGACGGAGATGAAGAACATCTGGAGTTGGAGCCGCACATCTGGTCGCGAAGCTAGGCTGCGCCGCTTCACCAACACCACCCCCGCCCCGCGCCCCAGTCACTTCCTGTCCAGGAGCAGTAGTCAGTGTTGTTTTAACCCCCTCTGGGACTGCACTAGGGCTCCGAGGAGCCGGCGCGGGCTCGGAGGAGAGGGCAGGTGATGGGGGACGCAGAGCCGGTACCCACACCCCCAATAAAGCCGCTTCCTAGGCCTGGACGGGCAGCGGTTCTTCAGCGCGTGCGGAGAACGAGGAGGCGGGAGGGGTCCGGGGGCCGGGAGGGGCCCGGGGGGCGGGCTGGAGGCCTCCGTTCCCCTACCCCCATCCCGCTCCTGCCCCGGGGCGCTCCCGCGTCCCCTCCCACGCGCCCATCGCGGGTCCTACCGAAACTCGGCGGGCTCGCGGTGTCTAGACGCCCCCTGCGGGGGCCCCCGGGGAGCCGGGCCGAGAGGGAGGGCCCCGGAGGTCCAGGAAGAGGGGGAAAGGGAGAAATTCGAGAAACAAGCCTCTCGAGGAGAACCAGACAAACCGGGTTCGGGCAGGGCGGGCGCAGCCTCTAGGGCGGGGCCGGTTCTGGGGCCCCGGGAGTCGGGGGTGCGGGCCCCCGGGCCGGAGAGGACGCTCCGCCTCGGCCGCTCAGGACTCGGGGGGTGGAGGGTAAGGAGCCCTGAGGCCCGTGCGCCCCGGGGCTCCGCCGGGCTCCTAGTGACGCGGCACCCGGGCCCCGGCCCCGACGGGAGTCCTGCCCTCGAGGCGGGAGCTCCGCCCTCGGCCCCGCCCAGGCCGGAGCCCCAGATTCCGGCGGGGAACCGGGGAGGTGGGGGAGTAGCGCCCGGCGTTCCGGGCAGGTAGGAGTGCCGCTCCGGGCGGGCGAGGAGCGAGACGCCCGGGCGCGGAGAGGCCAGGGGGCTGCCGCTGGGGTCCCGAAGCCCCGGGGTGGGCGGCCCGGGCGCCGGCAGGGGGCGGCCCCGCGCGGCCCCGCCCCTCGCGGCCCGTGCCCGCCCCGCTCCGCGCCCCGCCCCCTCCTTCCCCGCAGCCCCCACCCCCAGCCCCGGCTCCTCAACACAAACTTTCCGTGCGGCTCGCTCCCTCCTCCGCGCCCGGCGCCTCCCGCTCCGGCCCGGCTCATTCCGCACATTCCGGTCAGCCCCCTCCCCACGACCCCCCTCCCCCGGCCCCCCTCTTCGCTCCCTCGGGCCCGGCGGAGCCGCCCGGCCGGAGCGCCCCCGCGAGATCGGACCAGGTAAGCCGGGCGGACGCCGGGAGGAGGCCCCGCTGGGAGAGGTGGTGTGGTTGGTCGGTGCTTCGGGGGGTGGGGGCTGGGGAGCAGTCACGGGGGGGCTGGTTCCCAGAGCCATTGTCCAGCCTGAGCCTGAGCCCCGGATCTGGGTGCCGGGAAGTTTAGAGGAAAGGGGGAGAAGCTCTCCGGGAAGCCCCGCCCACCCTCCCACCAACCCCCTGCGACCCGGACGAGTGGTTCGGGGGGAGGTCGGGGAGCCGGGAGCCTGGCCCCGGTGCCAGCGCCTGTCCAGACGTCCGCATTTGGGGGTGTCGAGGTCGGGGTCCGGGGGCCCGCACGGTCTGGGGTTGGGGGGCCTGCCACCGGGGAGCTCGTCCCCGCAGCGCCCAGCCCCGCCGCCCTTTGGACTCCCGGCTGGCGCTCTCTCAGAGCCCGCCCGGCCCCAGCTCCACGCAGGCCTCGGGCCGGGCCTCCGGGCGCCCAGGCCGGCTCCCTCGCGCGGTGTCCGCAGCCGCGCTGGACTGTGGACGGTGTCTGGCAGCCAAGCTTCACGACCCCGGGCGTGTGCCCCCTGAGGGGGCAGGGGCTTAAGTTGCCTTCAGTTCTGCCGCCGGCGTCGGGGTGGAGGTTTCGGAGTTACAGCCCTGAGCTCTGCGAGCCTGGTTCCGAAGGGACTGGATTTGGGGCCTTGCCTTGGCCACACACTTCGGCAGAGCCCGTGTTTAGACTTTAGAGGACTTGAAGGCCGCTTGTCTCCTCTAACCCTAAGCCCCACCACACACTCACCACCCCCACCATTGTCTGTCATGCCCTTTACTCCTGCCTGGGGAATTAGAGCTGGGAGCGCCCATCAGCCTCCGGTTTCCAGCCTAGCAGGGCCCTGGGGCAGTGTCATTGAGACCAGACCCCTCCGTGTCAGCTTTCCGGGAGAGGGGCCCTCATCCAGGGCTGAGAGGTGGGTTTTTTTCTGTGAACAAGGGGGATTGAGGCCTTGGGGTAGGGCTTCTCAGGGGAGGGAAGCTGTCCCTCACACCTCCATCTGTGTCTTTTCTCTCTCCAGGTAGAGGCAGAACCAGGTCAGGCCTGAACTTGTAGCCCAGGAGAGCAGGGGGTGGGGGTGGGGTGGGGGCTGGACACAGCTCAGAGGGGCTGGTGCCCAGGGCGGCTCTGTGTATCCCGCCTACCGCAGCCCCAGAGCAAGGGGGCCAGGACACCTTGTTGGCCAGAATGCTGGGGACAGCCTGGGGCAAGGAGGGAAATCTAAAGTTGCCAAAAGTTAGAGTTTTGGTGAGAAATGAGGTCTTCCTCCCGCCCAGATTCTTGCAGCTCTTTTTCCCCATAGGCGTGCCACCACAGACCATGGTTCAGGGCTCTTCCTGGATCCCTGCTCACCCTGTGAGCAGGCGATGGACAGATGTCTTTTCTAGGACTAGGATGTATGATGACGGGGACTCATGGGACCCCAGATGCTCCCGCCTCAGAGAGAGACTGGGATCCAATGGGAGTCTCAACCTCGTGGGCCTTCCCCCACCATCACTCCCCCGCCCCGCCCCGGGAGGGAACAGTAATTAATGCTACTTAGTGCATTTGGCTGAGTAGGATGGTCAGCGATGGGCAGGACAGAACTGTGTGTATGTGTGTGTCCTGGGCCCTGCTCCCACATTCACCCTGAGGTTTACAGATTTTGGCACATTCTGAACAGTTGGGGAAATATTAAAACGAAAAGGAGACATCTCAAACAGAGGTGGTCAAGAACTTAAGAGATCTGGTCCCAGCTGAGCCTCTAAGCAGTTGTGTCATCCTGGTCGGCCTCAGTTTCCCTGCTTGGAATCCAGGACTTCTCTGGTCCCTTTTCTCTGAGCTTCTCCGAGTCTCTTTTTGGTTCCTGGTCAGTCGGCCTCCCCATCATGGAAACTGAACCTGGTGGGGTCTGGAGAGGTGAGTGGGTTTTCAGTGGGTCTAAGGAAGAAACTGAGGGCTGACCGGGGGGTGACCGAAGGCAGCGAAGCCAGTGAGGGGCTGAGAAGATTACGGGAGCAGGCAGCAGTGCGGCAGGGGGCCCAGGTGTCAGAGAACAGCTCTGGGAACCGACTGTGGGGTCTGGCAAGGAATGGTGTTCAGAGGCCACCTGGATGGCCAGCCCTCTCCCAGACCCCTCTGAGGGCTCAGGGTGGAAGCTGGAAGGGAGCAAAAACTCCCAGTCCTATCCACCTCTTCGCTCAGGAAGGGAGAGGAGCCAAGGCGTCCGGCTCACAGGGAGGACAGTGCGGGGTGGTGGGGGTAGCTGGTGGTGCCAGGCCCCAAGGAGCCAAGAAAGAGGGCTCCCAAGGCTGCAGCTCTCCGTGGAAGTGGCCGGGATGTCCCAGTCTCTGCTCCCCATGTGGGGTCCGAGGGGTAGCCTTGAGGATCCAGGTCTCCGCGGACCCCTGGGGCTGCCCTGGGGCCATGGCGGGAGCTTCTCTGCTCAGAGCTGGGGTGGAGGCCAGCTGATCACACTTGGCCCTGTCCCTGTGGCCTCACCCCGTCCTCCCCTTCCCCCTGCGTTGTGCCAGCCTAGGGTGGTCTGCCCGAGAGGCACAGCCCCTCGGGGCTCTGCCAGTCTGCTCAGAGTCCCGCAGGAGGCTGGGAGCAGGGACCAGAGAACCCTGTCCCTCTGTGAATCCCCAAAGCCTCAGCCCCTGAGGTTTCCTAGAGTGCTGATTGCTTCCTGTGCTCCCTGCCAGGCCCACAGGACCGGAAGTGATAGAGGGAACCGGGAGTGCAACTGTGTGTGCCGCTGGACGTGTGTGTGTGTCTGTGTGTGTATGTCTGTGAGAGGCCGAGAGGGACCCTCTGTGGGTGACACCGTAGGGGTGGTGCACGTGAGGGGAACTGGGGTGAAACCAGTTCATATGTGTGACTCCACAGGAGGCCAACTGTGTGCGACATTGCGACTTTGTAACACGCACGTGTCAGAGACGTTGTGACGTTCTCGGTGTGTGGCTGGCGCTGCAGGTGCTTGAGAGAAACTATGAATGACGTTCCTCGTGTATGACTGATGCTGCATGCGTGCGTATGTGTGTGTGTAGGGGACCTCTGTGTGTGTGAGGGGCCATCACACGGGGTGGGTTTGTGAAAGAAACTGCTTGACCACTGGTGTGAGCTCACATCCACGTCCGGGACTGACTTGGCTGGGTTTCCGACGCTCTACACGTGTGAGGGCCACTCAGCCGTGTGATGCTGTGTGTGTCCGAGGCAGAATGAGGGACACTCTGTGGGCCCGGTGTGCTTACGTATAACACGCTGAGAAGCTGCTGTGACATGATGGACTCTCTCTAGTGCAGCGTGTGAGTGCTGAGACGCCGTGGCGACGGCTGAGTGTGAAATCAGGTGTGTGGGTGAGACAGAGAAAGTCCACAAGCTGAGGGTCGGTGCCACTTATGGGGTGAGACTGACCCTATGGGTGGTCACATCTGAGATGGTTTGAGACAGTAGGGCCGTGGGGGTGACAGCCTTCAGGGCTGTGGCATATATGGTGTGGGATGCTGTGTGTGTTGAATTTGAGGGCCCGTGACCCCATGCACGTGCATCTCCGTGGCGGATCACAAAAAGAAAACTGTTAGAAACAAAGGATGTAATTAATGCTGCTGAATTGTTCACTTTAAAAAGGTGCTTTTTTTATCGTGTATATTTTATCACCATTAAAAAAAAATTAAGGGACTGCCCTGGTGGTCCAGGAGTTAAGACTTGGTGCTTCCACTGCAGGGGGCACACGTTTGATCCCTGGTAGGGCTGCATGCAGCTCCCCTCACCAAAAAAAAAAATTTTTTTTTTTAAAGAAAGAAATAAGAGAGATGCAGGTGACAGTGAATGTGCGGGACAGTGGCTGTGAAGAGGAGCGTGTATGTCTGACAGACAGGAGAGGTCCAGGGCAAGCTTCTGTGTTTATTCATGGCACTGACAGTGTGACTTTCCGAGGAGGCAGCAACTGACTGAGGGCCGGGTCACAGCTCAGTGGGTGACCTGGAGTCCAAGGGGCCCTCTGACACGGTGAGAACTGTGAAACCAGAGTCACCCCTTTAGGGCACCCCCGCCCTTTCTAGCCTGGATCCCTGGCCTTCCTGGACTGGGTCCGGATGAGGAGACTGGACAGCGGCTCGGAGTGGGGGGTGAAGTCTGGGAAGTGGGCCCCTTCTCTCTGCAGGAGGTTTGAGGGCTCCGAGCCTCTTCCCTCCCTCCTACACTGCTGGAGCGGGGAGAGAGTGAGGGGGAGCCTTGGAGAGAGAAGCCTGGGGGGGCTTCCCCGCCCCCTCGGCTCCCTGAGAAGCCTGTGCCCTAGGAGAGGGGGTGGGTGGGTGCAGAGGCTGGATTCCCAAATTGGAAGCACATTAATAAGCTGGGCAGCGGGGGAGCCCCCGTCACCTCCCTCCTAGTGGGCTCTGCAAATTGCTTCCTCCTGTAAAAATCTCAGCCCAGCTCTAGGGAGGCGGGTACTCCCTCCCCAGCCTGGCAGGGCGTGGTCACTTGGCAGGGTCCCTCGGGGCGCGGGGTGGGGGGATGGTTGGGGGGGGTCCTTGGGCTGGAGGTGGGGGCGGCGGACACCATCCGCATCCCACCCGCCCTGCGGTCCCTGTCCCAGCACAGTGCAGCCACTTCTAGGGTGGGAGCCTCTGGCAGCTGGAGAACAGCTGGCCCCGCGGTGGGGGTGGGTAGGGAGGAAGGAGGAAAAGACAGGGGGGCGGGGAGGCTCCCCGAGCCTTTCTCCACTGCTGGCCCCATCCTCAACCCCCCGGCCGGTCAGCCCTGCCCCGCCCTGCCCTGGTCTGCAGGCAGGGCATTCGGGATGCAGCTTTTGATTTCCTCATCTTCCCACCCTTTGAGTGAGGTTCTCACTCAGCGTGAGAGCACTTTGGGGAGTGAGGTCCTGCTGGAGCACACAGCTGCCGCCGCTACCCCCAGTGCGTCCCCTCGGTGGGGCTGCTACCTGGGGAGAGTAGGGGGGTGGATTGCTGACACCTGCCTGGACTGGCCTGGCCTGCATCTCCCACGAGGCCCAGGCTCTGGGGAGGCCCAAGCTTCAAGTCTGTCCCTGCCCCCACTTGAAAGGCAGTCGAGGGCGGGTGGTCTGGAGTTGGGGGGTGGGGTGGGAGGGGCTGGGGTGGGCGTTTAGGTCCTCTGTGGCAGCCCCAGCCTCCCTGGCCTCCACCCCTGGAGCTGTCCAGCCAGTTATTCCAGCAGGTCTGGCCCCAGGGAGGGGAGTGGGCTGCAGAGTACCCCTTATCTCCCTCAGGGCCCCGAAGCCTGCTCGCCCAGCCTCCTATCTCCCACCTGGCCACCACCCAGAGGCATCTTCTGACCTCCCAAGGCCCTGGGAGAAGGGGAAGCAGGTGTGACTGGTCAGATCGAAGGTAAAGGCCACATGAGACCACAGAGGCCTGCGGGCCCTGCAGTAACAGGGAGAGGGGAGGTCCTCCAAGAGGAGGGCTGGGGAACGGCGGGCCGGGAGCGGCCGTCGTCCTGGACGCGGCCCTGTTGGGGTTGACCCAGCCCCCAGGGGTGGCTCCCCTGTCATGCCCGCCTTCCCCTTTGGTCTGCTCGGGGCTCCTTGGGGTCTTTCTGCCCTTGACTCCCTCACTCTTTCTCTCTCTCTCTCCCCCTACCTTCTGGTTTTCCGTTCCCGCACAGCCTGACCATGTCTTGGTTTACTGATTGACCCCCTTCAGCTGGGTCTCCTGTCCCCTCCGTCCTGGTCTCTGTCTGTCGGCGTCTCTGTCGGTCACGGCCACTCGCCCCCTCCCTGCAGTGTCCGTGGATCCCACTCTTTCCAGCACTCTACCTGTTCCGTCTGTCTGTCTCTCTCTGGATCTCAATCTCTCCCTCCTGTCCTCACTCCAGCTTTCCCTCTCTGCTTCTCTCACTCTGACCGTCTTGTCTCTTTTGTCGGTTTTCTTGGCTGTCTCCCTTTCACCCACTCCCAGACTCTCCCCCATCCCTCCTGTCCATCTCAGGCTCCACCCTCTTTGCCCCTCACTTGGGTCTTTCTACCCCTTCTCCCACCCTTCTTGAGAGCAACGCAGAGGCTCTGTACACGTGGGCCAGTGACAGTGAGCGGCTGGGGGCTGCCACCCCTCTGAACCCTACCATGGAAAAGGCAGATCAGACCCTAAGCTGGGTGGGGGCTAGCATCCCTGGGGTCAGCTCCCTTCACCATCAGCCTCAATATTGGCCTCAGTCCAGCCCTGCAGCTGTCTGTGGGGAGCCCGTAGCCTCCTCCCTCCCCGCAGGCTGAGTCCCAGTGGTTTGGCGTCCAAGAGAATGGGGGGGCCCACTCTCTGTCCTCGCCCCATGGCAGTAACTCTGGGGAGGCCTGCCCAGGCTCCCCGCACTGACATGGCAGGAGAGAGACCCTAGTTCAGCCCCCAGCCAGGCGCCACTGCCCACCTGCCAGTGCCCGGCTGTGCCTTGGGCTGGGGGGTGGGGTGCAGATATTCTCACTGGGCATCAATCTGGGCACCCACGCAGCAGCGTAACCTGCACACAGTGCTCCTGGGCATGGCTGTGTGGGGTGGGGGTCACCTGCGGGCCCCTGGGTGGGTGCCTCGGGCCCCCAGGAGTGTGCCTGGAAAGTGGGTCTTGCATGTAGCCAGTGAGCTAGTGGGAGGGACGGTGGTCCCGCTTCTCTCCTTGACTTGTCCTTGCGGCCGCCCCCCCCCCAACCAGGGGCTCCCCTCCCCCTCGCCAGCTGCCAGCAGTCCCGGCCAGGGGCCGCCGCCCCGCCCCCCCCAGTCTGTCCCAGCTCCCAAGCACTGCTGTGTTCGCCATATTTGGCCACAGTGCTCCTGCGGGGGGCGGGGCGGGGCTGACATCACCCTGAGAAGGGGGGGCCCCCGCCGCTTGGGTGAGGGGAGGCGGGCAGAGACTTGGGGGAGGCAGGAAAGTTGCTTTGGAAAGTCTGGGGCTGGCAGGGCCCCCCATGCGCTGGGCCCCTGCTGCTCTGAGGGAGGCCTCAGAGAAGGATTTGGGGGGAAATGGGTTGAGGAATCTGTTGGGAGGGGTCTTAACTCATCATAATCCCTCATCTGCCTCCCCTCTAGAGCCCACCCATCCGTGGTACCGTCAGGCCTGGGGGAAGCTTTGCATCCCAACTACCCCAGTACTGGAGCCGCTCTGGTCCCCCCCATGCCACATTGCCCTCCCCCCTTTATTACATAAACTTGGCCTCAAGGGGTTGAGAAGGGGATGGAGGTGGGGATTCAGTCCCTGGGCTGAACAGAGAAGTGTGGCCCCTGTGACCATCAGGAGCACAGCTTCCTCCTTCCTCTCTTGGAGGCTGCCCTCTGGCATGCTGGTCTTGAAGGCCTTCCAAGGAAGGGTTATGGCAGTAACCTGGGGGTCCTTGAGGTTGCTCCAGCCACCTGGGTTGAGGGGATCCCCTGGCCCAGACCCCACTAGGCAGACTCAGGATGGTTGCCACGACAGCTGGATCTCCTTTCTGTTTGCAGATGGTGGGACTTCTCATCTTGGTTAAGAGACCGAAGTTAGATCGCCTGTATTCAGAACCCAGTTTTAGTACTCACTAGCTGTGTGTCCTTGGGAAAATTGCTTCACCCCTCTGTTCCTTGGTTGTCTCATCGGTAAAGTGGAAATAATAATAGTATCCACCTAATAGGTGACTGTGAGGATGGAGTGAGTCAGTGTGTGTCAAGTCCCAGACAAGTGCCTGCCATATGCAGGTGCTGTCATCTGTAGTAATGTGAAGTGTAAACTCCACATCCGCCTGACGATCAGGAACACACCCCCCACCTGGTCCTCCCCCTCCCGGGCTACTCCCGGGCTTCAGGCCTTCCAAAGTAAATAGGTGGTCCCCAAAGGGAGAACCCCCACCCATTTGATAGGACCTGGAATCCTTGTTTGAAGGGAAAGAATTCTCTTCCCTGGCTTCCGTGGGGGTCTCCCACCTGGCTCCCTTCTTTCTGTTCAGCCCAGAGCACATCCCAGAGTCTAGCCATCTGGGACTCTGCAGCTCCCTGGACCCTGAAAACACACTGGACGTGCATTTCTGAGGCTGAAGGGGGCCGGGGTGAGCCGAAGGGCTGTGTGTGTTGGGGGACTGTCTGGGTGTGGTCTATTTTAATAATCCAGCTCAGCCTGTGCAGGGAACTCAAAGTTTATAGAGCCCTGGCCCTTCCACCGTGTGGGCCAGGGCAGGGGCGGGTGTGTGGGTGGTTTATGGGCTGCTGTGGGGCCGGGAGGTGCGGGAACAGGAAGTGGGATGGAGGAACGGGTGGGGTTGAGCAAGGCTGTCGGCCGGCACCTTCTCAGCTGCTCCCTTACCCGCCAGCGTTGCTCTGTTCTCCGGGATTCCTAGGGCAGGAACTGCCCTGAGATTACGTTCCTTGGCAGGGTTCTCATGAGTTAGCTTTTGAGGAAGGCAAAACCATACCCTCCCTGGACCAGGGACCCTCATCCCATGGTAGGTCCTTGGCAGGGTTGTGTTGAAATGCTGGGGGAGAATGAGGGGTGAAGTGTTAGTCGCTCGGTCGTGTCCGACTCTTGCGACCCCATGGACTGTATAGCCTGCCAGACTCCTCTGTCCATGGAATTCTCCAGGCAAGAATACTGGAGTGGGTTGCCATGCCCTTTTCCAGGGGATCTTGCCAACCCAGGGATCGAACCTGGGTCTCTGACATTGCAGGCAGCTTCTTTACCGTCTGAGCTACCAGGGAACCCACAGGTGGGGGTCCCTGATCAGGGATCCTGATGACGAGGAGGAGGAGAGGCAGGGTCAGAGGCAAGGAGCCCTTCTGAGAGCCGCAGAAGCCCTTGGCCCTGCTGGTGTAGTCCTCTTCTCTTCCTCGTCACCGTGCCTTTGGCAGCTGCGTGGTCTTGTGAGCCTGTTTTCCTCATCTGAATAATGGGCATCACTCCTTGCCACCCCTCCTGCCAATCCCCTCCCACCCACGCCACCTTAGTTTTGAAGGTTGACTGAATATGAAAGTACAGGTGGTGATGGTTTAGTCGCTAGGTCGTGTCCGCCTCTTGCGACCCCATAGACCGTAAGCCCACCGAGCTCCTGTGTCTGTAGGATTTTCCAGGCAAGAATACTGGAGTGGGTTGCCATTTCCTTCTCCGAAAGTACTTTTTCCCCATTAAAGTACTTTTTCCCCACAGAAGTGCTGTGCAGGTGTAAGGCATTGTTATTGTTGCTCTTGATCCCCACCAGTACTGTGTCTTGAGTGTTAAGAGCCAGGCATCATGGATGGCACTTTGATCTCATTTCATTTTAACCCTCACAATCTCAGGGAGACCCTTCCTTCCTTTTAATAAGGCTCAGAGAAGTGGAGTCACTCACCCAAGGTCACACGGCAGTCTGACTAAACCACCCCACCCTGGAGCACCGGCCCCCAGGGGTGGGAGATTGCTGCTGTCTGGGAGGGCCCTGCCCTAACCCCTCTGCTTCTGCCCCCCCAGGCTCAGGCTGCCCAGTGGGCTCAGGCCCAGAGCCCAGAGCAACCAGCACAATAGCGTCCAACAGCTGGAATGCCAGCAGCAGCCCCGGGGAGGCCCGGGAGGATGGGCCCGAGGGCCTGGACAAGGGGCTGGACAACGACGCGGAGGGCGTGTGGAGCCCGGACATCGAGCAGAGCTTCCAGGAGGCCCTGGCCATCTACCCCCCCTGCGGCCGCCGCAAGATCATCCTGTCGGACGAGGGCAAGATGTATGGTGCGTGCGGGGAGGCAGGGGACCCTGGGCCGGACTTGGGGAGGCGCCTGGCCCTCCCCGCCCCTCCCCCTGCTCTCTGCCCCCTCACCCGACCGGTTTGGCGAAGTCCCGCGGGGCCTCCAGCCCTCCTCTGGCGGGCGGGCGAGTCTGGGCGTGCAAGCCTGTGTGTCTGGATCCTCCTCACAAACAGGCCAGGCTTGCCCCCTCCACCAGAGCGCAACCCACACGTGACACCCCCCTGGCTGCCCCTCCTCTCCTCGCCCCTACTGGCCTGGAGGTTTCGAGGTGACTCAGTGGGCCCCAGAAACTGGGTCAGTTTGGTGTGTTCTGGTCTGGACCTGAAAACAGGTCCCTCTTCTAGGAGGACGTTGGAGAGGGTCCCTCTCCTAGGAGGACATTGGGGAGCCCCCCGAGGGCTGAGGCCTGGGGTGGGATCCCAACGCAGAGCAGGGGTCGGGGAGGGGGACTTCAGGGTGGTGAGAGGCCCGCTCTGGGACAGGGCCCATGGGGGAAGAGGGTCTCATCTCCTCCCAGGCCTCCTGCTTGCCTCCCTCTGCCACCTGGCCCACCTCCTGCCTCCAGAAGGGAGTGTCCCCCCCACCCTGTTCCTTCCTCAGAGGGCTCTCCCAGGGCCGCATTTTTGGGATAACTCAGCCCTTCTGCTCCTGGCTCCTTGCCAGCATCCTCCAGCCCTCTGGAGCGGGGCAGGCCGTCTGCACCCGGTGTCCAGTGCCGTGGCGAGCGCGGAAGGGAGACAGCTGGGCGGCCTGGGTCCCCTTCCCCTCCCATGGGCACACACCCACCGCGCCAGCCCGGGCCCACTCAAGGGGCGGGCAGGTGTTCCTGGGTGCCTTCCCCGGGATGGGGGCCACCTGCCCCCATCGCCACCTCCCAGATGGCCGGGGCAGCCCCGCAGGGTATTTTTAGACAGGGCGGAGGGAGTGGGGTGGAGGGGGCAGGCAGGAAGGGAGGGGCAGTGGGCCTGGTTCTGTCATGGAAGAGGAATTTGGAGAATGTGGCCCTTCTGCGGAGGCTATGGAGTTGGGGGGCAGGGGGCCTGGAGTTGGGGGTAAGGGGTATGCCCCTGAGGATGCTCACATACACTGCACCATGTGTCCCAAGCACCACGACAGCCCGCTTCACAGGGCCAAGCCCTCAGACACCGGCCAACCTCTGGGTCCCCCGAGGGTCTGGGGTGCAGAGCAGGCAAGGCTGACAGGCTGAGCTCGCTCTCACAGGGCAGGACAGACACTGGGAACCAGTGACTTGGGGCTGACAGGCTCAAGGACACGGCGATGCACTCAGTGACACCTCTTGACCCAGGCTGTCGGTGTAGGAGGCATGCTGGGGACTGCCCGGTCCTTCCCGCCTATTCCACCAGAGAAGGGCAGGGACTTCTCCAGGGACTCCTGGTGGCCAGGACACTAGGACGGACCCAGGGCCCAGAATTCTTACAGACACATGGGGATGTGTGCCCAGGAAGGGATGTCACACACACACGCACACACCCCCTTGGTGACAACGAAGCCCTGCCCGGGGCTGGGAGTGGGGGGCCCAGCTGTCCTGCTGCCCTTCGGCCACACCTGCCCCTGTCCGTCTCGCAGGGAAAACCCCGGCAGGCCGCCTGACATTGTTCCACCTCCTGCTCTGCGACCCCTCCCCCAGTGAGCAGCCCCCCAGGTCCTGGAGGTGGTGGGGGAGCCCTGGGGCTTCCCCTTCTTCAGCTGCTCTGCTTGTGCCCCTTGGTGGCGGGGAGAGGGCTGGTGTGGGGTGAAAACAGAGAGGGGGGAGCAGAAGAGGAGTGGAGGGGGGCGCGGTGTGGTTTCTAGCCGGGGAGGGGGTTCTCCTCTTTGCCCACTTCCCATTTTCCTCTCATCCCAATCTAGGTCGAAATGAGTTGATCGCACGCTATATTAAATTGAGGACGGGGAAGACTAGGACGAGAAAACAGGTAAGAGATGATTTATGCTGTGTGCCCCCCCCCCCCCCGGCAAAGACACCCTCTTCCCTGTCTCCTCCAGCCCCTTCCCAGCCGAGCTATCCCACTGCCCTACCCACTTCCTCGGATTCGCCCCATTACTCAGCCCTGGTTCCCCGACCTGGGATTGAACCTGAGCCATCCACACTGGGAGCGAGGAGTCTCCTCCTCCACTGGACCTCCAGGGAAGAAGTCCCACTGTCCTTTGTGACCGCTCCCCTCCCCTAGATCTTTGGTTCGGCGACCACAGCTTGCTGGGCAACTGTGGCAGCTGTGTGTCCCTGCCCTGAGTGGCTCACTGACCAGTCAGGGAGACGGACGGTTGGACAGATGAGTGCAGAGGAGGGCGGCCTGGCCGAGATTGGCGTGTGCGCTGTCGGACAAGCATCTAACCCTGAGCAGGCAGGGGAAGGGAGGAGGGAGGGCTGGGAAGGCTTCCTGGAGGAGACGATGCTCAAGATGCCTTTTTTAAGAAGGAACAAGATTTAGCCAGGCAGGAGGAAAGGAAGATGATTCTTCCAGGCTGAGGAAGTTGGCTGTACAAATAATAATTGTTAACGCCTCCAGAGTTGACTTTATGTTCATGTATTTAGTCCTCATAGCAGCCTTGTGAAGTAGGCACAGTAATTATCTCCATCTTACAGGTGAGGAAACCAAGGCCCAGGAAAGTTAAGTAACTTCCTAAGGTCGCTTGGCAGGTTGGCGGTTGGATCCACTGGATAGGAAAAGAGCCTTCAGTTGGGGTGGTGCGTGGAGGGAGGGGTGGAGAGATTTGGCTGGCGCCCGAGGGCCAGGTTTCCCTGGGGGCAGCTGGGGGCCTGGAAGGGACTAGATCAGGGAGTGGCAGCTGTTAATACCTGTCCCCCGAGCCCCCAAGGCAGAGTGTAGGGAGGGCCAGGCGGAGGCAGGGACCTAGGTCGGCAGCAGTGGCCTGGGCAGCGACCGTGGTGAGGGCAGCGGTGGTGGGCACGGAAGAAACTGGTGATCTGGGAGATGATCAGGTGGTTTCCAGTCCGGGGAGGAAACCTGCAGGGAGCCACTTAGGGTACGTTGCATGTGGGGTAAGAGAGGCAGGCTGGAGTCAGGGCCCTGGAGACCCGCGGTCAGCACCGCCCGAACCTCCCTGTCTGGGTGGGATTTGGGCCTTGCCACCCACCCCGGAGATCCCCACTGTCTCCAAGGAAGGTTCTGGGTCCACTCACCCAGTGTGGAAATTGCTCCCTCAATGTTCAGGGCTTCATTAGTCGCTCTCCCTGGGCCAGCACATGGTTGTTGTTGTTTTTAGTTTATTATTTATTTTATTTTACTTGGCTGCACCAGGTCTTCTTGTGGCACACAGGATCTAGTTCCCTGAGCAGGGTTCGAACCCCGGGCCCCCTGCATTGGGAGCTCGGCCGCTGGACCACCGGGGAAGTCCCTGGGCCAGTTCAGACCGTACAGCATTTATTCATTTAGCAAATCATTGAGCTACTACTGTGCTCACTCGGCCCTAGGGATCCCGCCAAGAACCAGACAGACAGGGCCCAGTTCCCTGAAGCCTGGGGCCACGGGAGGAATACTAGCTGCTCAGCCCCCGGCTTCAAATACTTGCTCCTCTACCTGCGGGCAGGGGATGCCTCACCTCCCAGCCTCTGTTCCGCGGCTGTTCAGTTAGCTGAAATGTAAAACAGTGTATTTGTGTAGGAATTTGCCACTCCTATTGCTATTATTATTATAGTCATTACAAACCGCCATCCCGGGCACAGGAAGAGGGCACTGTCTTGGGGAGGCGTGTCCTACTTCACCCAGAAGACGTGTTTATAGGAACCTATTGGTCAGAGTGGGAAGGGGCCCAGGGATCTTCAAGTGAGACCCAGGGAGGGAACAGATCCTCTGAATTCTGGGTCCAGCATCATACCTGCTCTGCTCCTGGCCAGATATCCCAAGAAGGCTGTCTGTACAATGACATTTTACATACTAGCTGTTGGTAAGCTCAGGATTTTAAAAACCTCTGGCTTTTGTCATTTTGCAAGGGTGACACTCCTCTAACTTTATTATTAGAACTCTGATGTCTGATATCTCCTTAAAGAGGGACCCCACCTGTGGTTGTGAGAACAAGGTGTGTCTTTATTTGTCACAAGGAGCAGTGCAAGGTTTTTTGGTGGTATTCATTTTATTTTTGGTTGAAAAAAAATGCAGTTTTTAATATTTATTTTTTATAGCTACTTGACAGCAATTAATGGGCTTCCCTCATAGCTCAGTTGGTAAATCATCTGACTGCAATGCTGGAGACCTGGGTTCAACTCCTGGGTCAGGAAGATCCCCTGGAGAAGGAAAGGGCAACTCACTCCAATATTCTTGCCTGGAGAATCCCATGGACAGAGGAGCCTGACAGACTACAGTCCATGGGGTCACAAGAGTCGGACACGACTTAACAACTAAACCACCACCACCACAGCAATTAATACCAAATGCAATGCCTCCATGGGCTTCCCAAGTGGCTCAGTGGTAAAGAATCTGTCTGCCAAGTAAGAGATGTGGGTTTGATCCCTAGGTCAGGAAGATCCCCTAGAGAAGGAAGTGGCAACCCACTTCAATATTCTTGCCTGGGAAATCCCATGGACAGAGGAGCCTGGCAGGCCACAGTGCTGGGGTCACAAAATGTCAGACACGACTTAGTGACTAACTGACAACAGTGCGTCCATATTGAAAGCACAGCTAAATATTACATTAGGATTAAGTCCCATGTGACTTTCAGCTGTCCCAGAGTTGGCCATCTGGAGATAAGTCCTCTGGGCTAAGGGCCTGTTGGCGGTGGCCAAGTGGGCTCCGGTGTCAGGCCACTTGGGTCCAGCTGCGTGACCTTGGATGAGTTGCTTAACTTCTCTGTGCTTTGGTTTCATCATCCCAATCATATTAAATTGGGAATGATATTAGTGCCAACCTGTTAGCATTGCTGTAAAGCTCAGATGAGTTGGTACATGTAAAGTGCCGGGAACAATAGTCACTGCGGGACTTCCCTTGTAATCCAGTGGCTAAGACTTCGAGCTCTCAGTGCAGGGGATCTGGGTTCAATCCCTGGTCAGGGAACTAGATCCCACATGCCACAACTAAGGATCCTGCGTGTTGCAAATAAGACCTAGTGCAGCCAAATAAATAAATAAATAATACATTTAGAAACAAACAAAAAATACTAGCTGCGCTTGGTAAATGCTGGTTATTTCATGACGTGACATGATCAAGAATCTTGCTGGATGCAGGTCTGAATCGTGGGTGCGTGAGATGAGACGCACTAGTATATTTGGGTCCTCACCAGATAGCAGGGGGCGGTCCAGCAGCCCTTACATAGTAATTTTTAGTCCATGATTAAAAAGAAAAACTGTTTCTTTGTGTCGATAAAAACAATCTGCAAGGCAAGCCAACTGCAATTGCCGGTACTGAAAGTGAAGCAGCTTAGAAGATCCTCAACTTCCTTCCCGCTTGTTTTCATGGGGGAAGAAAACAGAGATGTTTAGTTCTCTGAGGCTCAGGGTCAGATCCTTGACAATGTCAAGGGGTTGTTGTGCAAGCGCACGCCGCACACATCCAGACTGTGGCTAGCTCAGTTTTGCCAGTTGAGGGAGGCTTCAGGAAGGAGGAGCTGGAGAAGAAATGCAGTTAAGAGGATATACTGTGTACACAGAGAGGGTCCACACTGCCATGTGTTGGTCCGAGGGGAAGAAAGACGTGCTGGGGAAGGAAGCTACATGAACAAAGCAGAAGCGAGACCAGGCCTGGTTCCATAGGCCAGCAAGCTGGGGTCTTCTTGGGAGGACTTAAGCAGAGGTTCAGGGAAGACCTTCTCTAAGGGATTTGGCCTTGGCGTGTAATCTGGTGGCCAGCAGGAGCATTATGGCCATGGCTAGCCTCTGAGATGCCAACTGGGAAAAAAAGGGGTCCAGTGTGGAAGAAGTCACCCGTTCCTGGAAGAATACAAGGTGCTCTTCCTCTGTTTTTTTTTAACCAGTCATCTTTTAATGGGTGTTAATTCTCCATTAGGATATGAAGGGATTCGGGGCTGCCAGGCAAAGGTCATGGTCAGAAATGCAGTGTCCCTTCACGTCGGGCCTTCTTCAGTGGTACTTGCGTGGCCGCTTGTGTTTGAACTCCTTGTAAGAATGGCAGTAGTTGAAAAGCTTGTAAGCTGCCAGCACCGTGGAAAGTCCGGCGAAGCTTCGTTTCTTCATACTGACATACTTGTTGTCATACTCTTGAAGTGCTCCAGCAGTGCCTTTAGGGGCGAAATCCTTCATCAGTATCCAGCTTAGCAGCTCCCCTGTTTTGATATCCAGGAGCTTCTCCAGTCAGTGGTATGACTGATGCCATCTTGGATTCCAGGGGTCTCTCTTCCTTTACTTTAGATGCAGCCCCGCGTCGGGCACATGGCTTGGCCAGCAGAGCTTGGGCTAGTTTTTAGCCCTCACTGGTCAGGTGCTCTTACGCAGTGAACAACTTGTACAACTGTACATGGTAGTCCTGGAAGCCACAGGAGGCTCGATCAAGACAGGCCAAAAGAGAGTGGAATTGGCAGTGCAAAGGGGTGTCTGCCCACAGGGGCCCAACAGTTCCCCCCCACTTACAGTTGGTCCCAGGAATAAGGGCTGGGATGCTCCTTGCTCGTGGCCACCCCAGCTATGCCTCCTCACTGTCTGTGTTTTCCTCTCTGGCCGGGCACGGGGCGGCCCCTAGGTGTCCAGCCACATACAGGTTCTAGCTCGGAAGAAGGTGCGGGAGTACCAGGTTGGCATCAAGGTATGTCAGGCGCCTGACCGGGGCCTCCAGCCCCCTCCTTACTCACGGCACCTCCACCACTGTCTGCACGGCTCAGGCCTCTGCCTTGGCTGGCTTTCCGGCCCCACTGTGGCTCTCTTCTGGCTGAAGCTCTGTTCTCGCCTCTCCTGTTCTTTCTGCTCTTTTTCTCCTTCCTTTCTCTCTCTGCAGGTCTCTAGCCACTTGCAGGTTCTAGCCAGGCGGAAGTCTCGGGAGATTCAGTCCAAGCTGAAGGTAGGGGGTCCCCTGCCACTTGGCCTGGCCTTGCCCGGGCCTGGTGCTGCTCTCTGACCCCAGCCCGGGACAGGGAATGGGTTGTGGAGCTATAGGTGGGCAGCACGGGGGGGCTCAGAAATATGAAAAGCAGAAGAAGCCCAGTGGCCGCCTCATGCTGCACAGGGCCACGGTCCCTGGAGACAGTGAGGAGCCCAGGAGGACAGCCCGCCCCACAGCGAGGGAGAGGAAGACCAGCTGGGGGCCACGGAGGCTCACCTCTCTTCTCCATTTTCCTTTCCTCCTTCCTCCTAATTGCTGCTTGCTAATTGCATGGGGACTTCGGGTGGGCAGGGAGGAGACACAGGTGGGGTGGAGGGGGACTGGCAAGCATGGCCGTTCCTTGTCTTGGACACTCGATCCTGGCAGCCCTGCGGCCGAGGATCTCAGAGCCTGGGCTTGAGGCCCCAGCCTGGGGTAGGCTGCACCTCTTCTCTGCCCATGGCTGCCCAGCAGACCAGGCCTCCTGCCCCCGCTCCTCTGCCTGTAGCACGGCCCCAGTGGGTGTGGACAGACCCAGAGGGCCCCAGCTTGGTCCCCTAACTAGATCTCTAGCCCCTCCACCCTCATCCTGCCCTTTGCAGGGCACCCTCAGCCAACACGGACTCGCTCTGGGTGGCGGGGGGCCGGGGGAAGGTCCACAACTGCCTCTGAGCTTCCCTGGGCCCCTCAGGACCCTGAGAGCCAGGTGGGCGGTGAGATGATCCACCACCTCAATCTGGGCTCCTCTGTGTCTCGTCTAATCCATCCTCCTTCTCTTCCACAGGCCATGAACCTGGTAAGTAGCACTGCCCCTGCCCTGGGGGTGGGGGAAGGGCAGTGGATGGGAAAGCACCTAGTGCAGAATTTTCAGATCATGGATTGCGAAATCAGTGTAATAGACTGTGCAAACAGCATTTTTTTTTTTTTTAATGGATGATAGTGGTTCTCAAACTTTAGCTTGTATCAGAATCACCTGGAAGTCTTAGGGAGCCAGATTTCTCGGCCTCACCCTCAGAGTTTCAGATTTATTAGGTCTGAAGTGGGGCCTGAGAATTTGATTTCTAATAAGCTTCCAGGTGATGCTGGTGCTTGTTGGTCCGCGGACCAGACTTTGAGAGCCGCTGATGAAATCAAAACTATGAGAGTATGTGATGCACAAAATAGGCAAAATGAAGGGAAATATTTTTCATGTATACTGGGTTATGGAATAAAATAAAAGTATCTCTTCCTGTGGATTGTAATCAGAGGGACGATGTACACTTAGGAGATGGGGCCTGGGAGGGGGCCCCTGAGGCAGGGACCCATCCTGTCTCTGGCCTGGCCTAGGCCTCACAGGGCTCCTCTCCTCCCCAGGATCAGGTCTCCAAGGACAAAGCCCTCCAGAGCATGGCGTCCATGTCCTCCGCCCAGATCGTCTCTGCCAGCGTCCTACAGAACAAGTTCAGCCCACCCTCCCCTCTGCCCCAGGCCGTCTTCTCTACTTCCTCACGGGTACGGCGGTCCTGGGAGGTGGGACTGGGGTGAGGGAGTGCCTTTAGGGTGGGCGAGGTGGGGGTCCTGGATACTGAGGGACCCTGGCCTTTGTCCCGTCTCTGCAGTTTTGGAGCAGCCCCCCTCTCCTGGGACAGCAGCCTGGACCCTCTCAGGAGTGAGTATCGGGACATGTCCTTCCCCCACCCTCTTCCTTCCCCTGTGAGCCGTGCTGGACTTTGCTTCCCATCTGGGTTCCAGCAACAGCTGAGCAAAATCTTAATTTAAAAATAGAGGGTTGGAGAGCACCAGTTCAGAGAGCTAATGCTTCTGTCTGTTCATTCATGTGTTTGTTCATTCATCAACCACTTGTCATCCATCTTACAATTATTTTTCACTCAGTTAATCTCTGAGTCAGTCTTTCAGTCAACAAGTCGGGTAGCCAAGTACTTTCAGCTCCTTCAACTCCAGGATGAATTTCTTCCTAAGACACACCCTCAGTTTAATGAGCAGGTCTGCAGGGTGGGGTTTGAAATGCTACATTAAATGTGCACATCAGTTGTGAGATGCATTCAGACTTCATGAAACCTAACACATGAAGAAAACAAAACACTTGGGAGTTAGCTGGTTGGCATGCATTTCGGAGAAGTGCACAGGAAGGCCAGGTTCCTCCTTACAGGGGTCCCAGAGGAGACTCACGTGACTGGGCCAGGCGGAAGGTGGGGAAGGGGGCAACCCTCTAACCAGCCTGTGCTCCTGTCTGCAGCATCAAGCCCTTTGCACAGCCAACCTACCCTGTCCAGCCGCCCCTGCCGCCGACGCTCAGCAGTAAGTTCCCTGCATGAGGCAGCCACCACCACTCGTCCCTCCTTCAGCACTTGCATGTCTGCTCAGGAGAGCCTGGGCCTGACTGTGTGTGTGCCCGCGTGTGCATGTTTGCATCCTGGGAGGGAAGGGTGGGTAGCATCTGTAGGGGATTGGAACAGGCCCGGGCCTGATTGTGTGTGTGTGTGTGTGTGTGTGCGCGTGCATGCATGCACATGTGCATGTATGCATAGTGGGAGGGAGGGGTGGATAGCATCTGTAGGGGATTGGAACAGGCCCGGGCCTGACTCTGTGTGTGTGTGTGTGTGTGTGTGCGTGCGCGCACGTGCATGCATGCACATGTGCATGTATGCATAGTGGGAGGGAGGGGTGGGTAGCATCTGTAGGGGATTGGAACAGGCCAGGAATAAGCCCCTTACCGTTTACAGTGTTGCTTCCAGAGCTCTGTTACAAGTACACACCACCAAAAGTGTTAAATTGATATGTGTGTGTATATATATAATTCTTTCTAGGAAAATACACCAAAATCTTCATGGAGTTTTACTCCTTTTAGGTATTGGGATTCTGGATAGTTTTTATTTTTCCATTTTCACTTGTCTTTTTTTTATTTTTGAATTTTTATTTTGTATTGGAGTAGAATGGCTACCCACCCCAGAAGTATTGCCTGGAGAATTCCATGGACAGAGGAGCCTAGCAGGCTATAGTCCATGGGGTCGCAAAGAGTCAGACACAGCTGAGCAACTAACACTCACAGCAAATTAATGTTGTGATAGTTTTAGGTGAAGAGCAAGGGACTCAGCCACACACACACATGCATCCATCCTCCCCTCAACCAACCCCAACAATCCAGTTTGACACGTAACGTTGAGCAGAGTTCCCTGTGCTGTACAATAGGTCCTTGTTGTTTATCCATTTTAAATATAGCAGTGTGTACATATCCATCCCTAATTATCCCTTCCCCTCGGCAACCATAAGTTCGTTTTCTAAGTCTGCCTTTTCACTTGCCTTGTATTTTCTGTTTGGACACACATTAACAGTGACACAAGGAAAAACCCACTGGTGTACATTACTGAGGCCACAGCACATGGGGGTGCAGGTTCCGCACTGCACAAGGACACCTGGCAAAGGAGTCAGAATCCATCCCGTGTTCCCATCCAAAAGCAGGGCCGTCTTCCAACTGGCACACAGGCCCTGTGCAGGTGGGGGCAGCTCTATTATAGCCGCACAGCACCCCGTGCAGACAAGGGTCCATCTCGTCCTCCCAGGTTACGAGCCCCTGGCCCCGCTCCCCTCCGCTGCTGCCTCTGTGCCCGTGTGGCAGGACCGCACCATCGCCTCCTCCCGGCTGCGGCTTCTCGAATACTCCGCCTTCATGGAGGTGCAGCGAGATCCTGACACGGTACCGTGGGGTTGGGGGCAGGGTCTGTGTGGTCCGGGGCCACCGCTCAGGGTCGTGGGGCTGGGACACCGTGGGGGGTGGGGTCTGTCTCCGTCGCCCCCCCACCGCCCTGGGGCTTGCACGCGCGTGTGCTCTCCTGACCCTGTACTGCGCCCTCCCCACAGTACAGCAAACACCTGTTTGTGCACATCGGCCAGACGAACCCCGCCTTCTCAGACCCGCCCCTGGAGGCAGTAGATGTGCGTCAGATATACGACAAGTTCCCCGAGAAGAAGGGTGGCCTGAAGGAGCTCTATGAGAAGGGGCCCCCCAACGCCTTCTTCCTCGTCAAGTTCTGGGTGAGCTGCCCTCGCCCCTCTGTTCCCGACGGCCCCCGCCAGGTGCAGAGTGCCCCCCGGGCCCGCCCTCCCGACCCCTGCCCCTGCCCTCTCTGCCTGGGCCTGTGAGTACCGTGCAGGCGATGGGCCCCCGGGCGGGATGCCTCCCTTGTCCTCGGGCAGCACCTCATGCTGCCCTGCCCTCTCCTCCAGGCCGACCTCAACAGCACCATCCAGGAGGGCCCAGGCGCCTTCTATGGGGTCAGCTCCCAGTACAGCTCGGCCGATAGCATGACCATCAGTGTCTCCACCAAGGTGTGCTCCTTTGGCAAGCAGGTAGTGGAGAAGGTGGAGGTGAGTGGGGGGCCACAGCGAGGGACGTGGCTGGGGTGGGGGTGGGCTGCTGGGAGTGGGCAGGCCAAGTGACGCCTGCCCCCTGCCCATCCCCTCCGGCTCCCGTAGACCGAGTATGCCAGGCTGGAGAACGGGCGCTTTGTATACCGCATCCACCGCTCGCCCATGTGCGAGTACATGATCAACTTTATCCACAAGCTCAAGCACCTGCCAGAGAAATACATGATGAACAGCGTCCTGGAGAACTTCACCGTCCTGCAGGTGCGGAGGCGGCGGGGGGCACCTGGGCACAGGGGGAATGGGGGTGGGTCAGGGGCCCCCGGGCACAGGGGCCTCGAAGCGGGGGTAGCCAAGCCCATTCCTCAGAGGAGGAGACTGAGCCCCAGAAAGGAGGACACCCCCCCACCCCTCCGCCCCGCACCCTAGCCCTGGGCCGCCTGACCTCCTATCTCTTCCTACCCGGCCCCCAGGTGGTCACCAGCCGGGACTCCCAGGAGACCCTGCTCGTCATTGCTTTCGTCTTTGAAGTCTCCACCAGCGAGCACGGAGCCCAGCACCACGTCTATAAACTCGTCAAAGACTAGGGTGCCCTCGGCCCCCACCACCACCACCACTGCCACCAGGATCCAGGACGAGTATCTTTCCCACACGCCTGCCTGGTCCCCCCGGCCCCAGGGGTCCAGGATGGAGGACCTGGAGGCCTCCCCACCCACCCCTGCACGTCCACTCCCTGCCACTGTTCTGCGCTTTCATTGAAGGAGGAGAGAGGCGGGGCTCAGTGCCGGGGCAGCCCGGCCGGACGTCGACCACCATCACCAGCTCTGCCCAGCCTCGAAAGACTGGGAGGACGCCTTCCAGCTCATGGGTGCGTGGCTGCTGACCTTTCAGGGGACTGTGGTGGGCGAGGAGCCGGAGTGCAGAGGCCCCGGACGGGGGTCGCGTTGGGAAGAGAGAAGGCCTACGCTTTCTGTGTGCCTGCGGTGTGCCAGGCCTGGGGCAGGCCCCCTCATGCCATCCTCAGACCCTGAAGAGTGAGAGTGGGGCTCAGTGTCTCCGTTGAGGGACCCGGGGGAGAGGTGGGCAAGTTGGGAGTCCTCCCCCGGGGCAGCCTGTCCCTAAAGCCCAGGTTTACACTACCTCCTTGGGGTGGGGGCTGGCCACAGGGGCCAGAGGGAGTCTGAGCTGAAGAGCCAGGGTGGCTGGGTGGGTGTCCAGACAGACCCCAGGGCCCTACCAGCCTGCAGATCCGGGCCCTGGGGGCTTCCTGGTCAGATCCAAGCTGCCCGGCCTGGCCCGGTCCCAGGACCCCCTGAGAAGCCTCCCTGTAGGCTCCCAGGGGCAGGCCCGGGCTCCAAAACAGGCTGAAGGGTCAGGTCCAAGGATGGAGTCCCAGCCCCCGGGGAAGACCCGTGGCCCAGGGACAATGGGCAGCAGAAAGGTTTGACAGTTTCTCTTGCCTAAGACTTGCATCTGGTGGTGAACCCTTGGGGGACGCCGTTCTCTTCTGTTTTCCCCACCTCGGTCTCTCTGGCCTGGAGCGGCGGCTCCCCGCACCCAGACCTGGGACTGTTGGTTATCCCTCCCCGTCACCCAGGCCCCTCCGCCTCCAGCCGCCGCCCGTGGGTATTTATGAGTTTCATATGAAGTACTGTGCCCCTTCCTTCCGCCGCCCCTGAGCTTCCTGAAGGTCCTCACAGTTTGCATATTGCTCAGGCCACCTCCAAACCCAACCTAGGTTTTATAATGTATATTATATATTTTTTGTGTATTTTTTAAAATCCAGCTGTGATGGGTTATATCATACATGTGGCACAAGGCTGGGGCAGAAGGCCTGAAGGCCCGGCTCCTGCTTAAAAAAAAAAAAAAAAAAAAAAATTAAAGTTATTTGTTTGTGGGCTAGCTGTGTGACCGGTCGCTTGTGCGCCAGGCCTCTCCGCTTCGGGTGGGCGCTCCTCCTGGGGCAGGTCCTAGTGTCACCCTGCCCGCCCTGTCTCCTCTGGGTGGGGGGGCCCCAATTCTACCCTCACTTAAATAGATATGTACTGGGACTTCCTGGGTGGTCCAGTAGTTGAGACTCTGCACTGCCAATACAGAGGGTGAGTTCAATCCCTGGTCTGGGAGCTAGATCCCACATGCCATGGGGTGTGGCCAAAAGATAAAAAAAAGAAAAAGTATCTTTAAAAGAATAGATATGATTCAAGGGTCTTGTGAAAGCTTTGCCGACTCCAACCTTTCTCCCACACCCCCCATGAGTTGAGCATGGAAGTGTGACCAGCGCTGGCCCGAGTGCTGTGTTGCACTCTTTAAATGCAGTGACTTGCCCCAGGTGCCTTCAATACTGAGATGGGGCCCCTGTTAAATCCCCACAGTCCATAGGGGCCACTACGAGTTTTACCATCCCATCCACACTCCACTCTGAGGAAAGAACCTCAGGGAAGTGAGTGCCCCCCAAGTCGGTGGCTGCTTGCTGGGGGCAGCCGGATTCCAGCCTGCCTCTGTGCCTGGAAAACCTCTCCCCTTTGAGCTCTCCGGTGCTGACACAGCTGGGACCTCAGAGTGGGGGGAGATGGGGTGGGGAGATGGTGAATTCATGGACAGCTGTTTACCAGAAATTCAAATTTAGGGACTTCTGTTGAGGTCCCATGTTCCCAGTGCAGGGGGCAGGGGTTCAATCCCTGGTCAGGAAAGTAAGATTCCTCGTGCCGCATGGTGTGGCCAAAAAAAAAAAAAGAGCTTCAAATTTAACTTGGCATCCTATATTTTCATTTGCTAAATCTGGCAACCCTACCCTGAAATCTAGTTTCTATATCATTCTGGCCCAACTTCCAATTTTGCAGATGGGGAAACAGAAGAGGTTAAATGTTCTCACTCAGCTGTCAGTGGCAACACCAGGATTTGAACCTGGTCTTCTGACTTCGAGCCTAGCCACCTAGTATACTATTAAATAATCAGATGGCCTGTTGTCTTGGTCCACTGCATTGGCGGGACCCGAGACTGTTGCTTGCAAGATGGGGAGGGTGCCTGGAGCCCCAGCCAGATGGGAGGGTGTCCTGCAGACAGAAATGGGTTTATGAGAAACCCGTCTTCTGCTAGGCCTAGGGCTGGATACAAAATCCAATTTCTACTAATAGGTGAATATATTTGTTGGGTGCTTGAATCATCTTCACGTGGGTTATTGCCTTCACGCTCCTGGAATAAACAGCCTCCAGGTAATTTCTAATAGAATAATGTAGGTCTCAGGAAAGCTCAAGTGAAATTCAGCTGCCCTCCTCACTTGCCACCCTCACCCCCACATACAAATGCAACAGATTCGGAGTGGGTGAAAATTACATAGTTCTGAGGTCTCAAAATAGTGAAGGAACTCAGTAAGAAAGTGGGTTTTATGAACCCAAAACGTAGCGCTCTCCTGAAAGTAGCTCTCCCTGCCCGGGGTTCTGTGGGAAGCTGTAAGGAAAGGCCAAGAAAGCAAGGAACCAGAGGCCAGCAGTTCTCCTGCCCCTCTGTTCCTGTTTCCATGTCCTTAGGGAAGATGGAGGTGGGCCATCATTTTGCCAGGTCCACAAAGCCTGAGCGCTGCCATGAGGTTTCCTGGGGGCTCTTTATTTCCCTCTAGTACTAAGGCTGGCTTCTCAGGTGGCTCAGTGGTAAGGAATCCACCTGCCAATGCAAGAGACCCGGCTTCAGTCTCTGGTTCGGGAAGATCCCCTGGAGAAGGAAGCGGCAACCCATTCCAGTATTCTTGCCTGGAGAATCCCATGGACAGAGAGGAGCCTGGAGGGCTACAGTCCATGGCGTCACAAGAGTCGGACATGACTTAGTGACTAAACAAATGCTGGAGTACTGGGGCCCCCCAGATTTTTAACTCAGGTGCACACTAGGCTTTAGTCTAGAGTCATCCTAGAGGCTGGGACTTGGCTAAGATAGCTCAACTGTCATTTATAATCAAATCAGTCTGCTTTCCCGTCCTGTCTCCCACTCTTTGCTCTCTCATGTGGTGCTACGGGCCTCTGGAGGGCAGGCACCGTGGCTCTAAACAGCTTCTGAGCAGGCCAACAGAAGGCAGGGAGTCACGGTAGTTTAATAGTTTTCAAGGACTCCTGCACCAATACATAAAGCCTAATAGATTTTATAAAGTGGGGAGTGGGTTTAATTTTTAAATCCAGGTGATGCAAATCAGTAATGCAGTTAAGACTCAAGTTCCCAAGAATTTCCAAAACATACCCATAGAATTTCCGAAACTATTTTTATTAAGACTTGGCGCTTCTACCACAGAGGGCGTGGGTTAGATCCCTGGTTGGGGAACTAAAATCCCACACGCGGCACAGCGAGAGAGTGGTTGGGAGGGAGGAGCACGAGGGTGAGACTGATCCTGAAGGCACCTTGTTCTCCCCACGCATCACCATTGATGAGACAGCTGTCCTCAGGATGACCTCCATTCCATCTATCCTACAGCCAACTAAGCCAGACAAGCAGGTATTTATGTGCCAGGTCTAGAACACACATGTAGGTAGCTATGCCTAATTACCATTTTATAACCGCTGATTGAGTACCAAGTGCCTGGCACTGTGCAAAGCACATCACGCTTTTAGTAGGTACCTTCGTCAGTTCCACTTTCAGATGAGCTTTCTAGAAGACGCTGGCTCAGTAGATACCCATCATTTCTGAGTGGTAGAGCTGGGATTCACGTAGGCAGTGGGGGCCTCAGCCCAGTCTGGTGGTGGGTCTTGCACCCGACAAACTATATGCAGCTGGTCATGGGAACCTCTTCTGGGAAACCCTTGCTCTGCTGTGATGCTGCTCAACACAGCACAGCTGCTGGCGCAGCCGGTCTCCTAGAAGTGATTTGCTCTTATCTCACAGGCTGTGATCATTCTCTCAGAATTGGCCGCCACTTGGGGCCCACCTGAGCAATCACGGGAGGCTTGCTGGCCTTCACCTAATCACTGTCATACCTTTTGCCGTACTCAGCTTTGTAAGAGACAGGATATAAAATGTAATCACTTGTGAACTATTTTTCATACTATATTCCTTTAGTTACCAAATCATAAATTTTCCGTGTTGCCTTTTTTCTTTGGATAACAAAAACCACACAACTTCAGAACTGTAGCCTGCCAGGCTCTTCTGTCCATGGAATTTTTCAGACAATGTTGGAAGTAGGTTGCCATTTCCTTGTCAAGATGTTCCTGACCCAGGCATTGCAGGCAGATTCTTTACCAACTGAGTTACAGGGAAGTCTCTTTTTCTGTGCCAGCTTACAAAACCCAGAGTGAACTTTTTGGCCAACCCCACACCAGGAATAAAACTTTCTCCTTTCAGTAAAACTGAATTGTCAGTCTCAGCCAGCTTTCCCCACTCCTTACCTACTGGGAACACTGTTCAACAGGCCTAGGTATTTTATCACTAACTATATTGCCAGAAGAGCAAGTCAGGACTACCACATTGAGAACCGAAATTAAATGCCCATCAGATTAGATGTAATGGTTAAAACCTGTAAGCTAAAATGACAAATCCCTTTGGTTAATACCCTGATGCTAGGAAAGACAGGGCAGAAGTGGGTGAGAGGAAGAGATGGTTGGATGGCATCACCAACTCAATGGCCATTAGGTTGAGCAAGCTCCAGGAGATGGTGAAGGACAGGGAAGCCTGGCATGCTGCAGTCCATGGGGTCTCAAAGGGTTTGAACACGACTTAGCCACTTAACACCTTGTACACAAGTAGATAAAGGTTATCTTAAGAAGTTTCAGCATTACTCCATGATTTTGAGGGCAGAAAGGCCTTGCCTTGTTTGTAGTAAATGACTACCCATCACTGGCTCATCAGTGCAGGCACTGCACCTCCCTCCCTTCCCAGAGCCACAGAAGACACTGCTGATGGTTTAGTATGGTTTATTAAGCTGTGCCTTAGTAGAGACGCTGGGGCTTGCCCATGGTGCTCTTAATGTACAAGGCCCTGACGTTCTGCCAATTTTTCTTGAGCAATGACACCAGGAAGTTGACAGCTAAGTGGATGTTGTACACAAGCTCATCATCTGTCATCTTCACGTGGCCAACAGCCACTGCCAGACACAGCACCTGTGGGGAGAAGGTCAAATCAGGTTGGTGGCCTGATTCAAAGAAACCAACTGTGGAGAGTGGGCTCATTACGGGTCCATTCCTCCGCCTTCCAGTGCCCTAATAAGCAGTGCTTTGCCCTCAGACCAAGAAGACCGGAGCTATTTAAAAACCTTCAATCCTGTAAAGTGACCGTCACAAGTCCCAAAAATACACAGAAATGCACACCAGGGCTTCCACTCAGACAATGTGGGTAAGCTGCAAGGCCCTGCCACCATCACCACTGTTTAATCTATGCAACCAGCCAGACCACCTCACCTTCTTCATCTGGAACTTGATCGTGGACTTCACTTCATCAACTTTGGCCACCATGTTCTCATTGTGGGTCAGCAAGGAAGGGAACTTGCCAGCCTTGTTCAGGCCTGGGCCCAGGATTCGGGGGATCTGCTTGATCAGAGACTCTGAAGCCAAAAAGGCATCATATTTCTTGGCTGGTAGAGAGAAAAAGCCATTAGGACCTGGCCCCTCAATACAACTCTAAAACAGAGCTCTGTGACCCAACCACAGAAGTGGCCTCTAATCAGCACTCTACCCTTTTCACAGCTACCAAGTCTTTTTCATCCTCTCCTCGGGCCAGTATGAGCTCCATCTTCTGGACTTTTACTGGCCAAACAACCACATGAAACCTGGTGGCATAAGTCCACACTGACTCACAATCCATGTTGCAATGAAAAAGGCTCACTGTAATTAAGACTGCCTGGCTTCAAAATCCCACCTTCCTACTTCCTAGTCACCCAAATGAAAAACCTGTTGACCTGTAGAACACTCGAATCATACAGAATAAAGATCAAAATGAAACAATAGGAGCTCTACATAGAAATTCCAACCCAGAAGCCACTAGCACCTGACCTGTCAATTTGACACAGCTCACCTGTTTAGAAAAGAACCACTACCTGGCCTTCTTCCCTTAATGATAACCCTCAAAGCAAACAAAGAATTTTCACATGGCTAAGTTCCAATTTCCAGTTGGCCAAGCACAACAGATGCTTGGTCGTGACTATACCCCTTCATCACTTTAGAATCCAAATAGCAGAAATACCCCTATATTCTACCACTCCCAAGAGATCTGCCCCCAATCTACCCCACCTATAAAACCACATCAGGCACACTCACCCAGCTTCTTGACCAGTTTCTTATTCTTGTTGAGTTTCTTCAGCGCCTCAATGTCCATGTGGGGGATATCCACAGCCTTGGCCTCATCACAATGCTGCTGGTCCCCCAAGACACACACGGAGAACTTGGGGCGGGGAGTGGACTTAAGCCTGCATTTTGGGGGCGGGGGGGACAGGATAGGTCACGTCCAGCCCTAGGCTCCCGAGGCTGAAGGTGAAGGGGTCTGGGGCCGCTGAGCACTGAGCCTTACCCAGAGCCGTCCACATTCACCAACAGCTAGTCTGGCTTCTCAAACTAGCCGGCGGGCTTGGCCAAAGCCTCCCCACGCCTCCCCTCATCTTTTAAGACCCAGGGTGGGGGTCCGTCCAGCCACGCCTGCCCGGAGCAGGGGGTCTGAACTACCCGGGCACTTCAGTGCCGCACGTGCCCGGCCGCCTCAGGCTCCACTGGAGCCGCAAGGGAGGAGACGGGGCCGCACGGGGGGCACTGAGGGCTGGGTGGGATCGGAACGGTGCCAACCTGACGGTGCCCGAGAAGCGTTTGTCCTTCTGAGGGTCATAGTTCTTCAGGCTGATCTGAAGCTCCACAGTCTCCAAAAACCTTAAAGAGAAAGTTAACAAAGTTTTAACAAGCCTCCAGCGGCTTTCCCCAAAGCGGCTCTCCCCGCTTTGTTAAGTAAGTACTTACTTCCTGCGCTTGCGCTGGTTCCCGTGCAGGACTTCCCGCACCGCCTCGTAGAGGGTGTCGCGGGAGACTTTGCTGCTGCAAGAGACAAGCAAGACGGGCGGTCAAAGCCCGGAAACCGGGCACCAACCTCGGGCGCGGTGTCAGAAGCCTCCGGCGCGGGAGGGCCTATTGATTACACCCCGGGGATTTCTGGACACCCCAACTGGGGCGACTCGGGCCCAAGGACCAACCCCGGGGAAGAGGGACCCTACAGGAGGGCGGCCTCGGCGCACCAACTAGAACGTCAGGCCCGCAGGCCGAAGCCTGACAAGAAATGCACCTCAGCGAAGCAGGGGCAAGAACCCCCGGGGCTTCTGCCCGCAATGTCTCCCTCCCCACGGGGGCGCTCAGAGGCGCGGATGAACGTGGATAGGACGACTAAGCGACACCAACCTCATGGTTCCCTACACCGCGATAACCGGAAAAGAGAGAAACGCCGCTCGCGCATGCGCCCAAATAGGACCCTTGTTCTCGCGAGAGATGCCTTGTTCCCGCGGCTTTTCTCCTGAGTGCAGTCTAGTGGCTCAATCACCTGGAGCGTTGCCATCTGCGGCCGCCGAGGGGCGCCGCAGCCGCGCCTTGCACCGCTAGACTCGCTCGCTTGGCAAGACCCGAGCCGCTGTCATGCCCTTAGGGAAGGGGCTACGGCCCGGGATCGAACCGCAGTAGTAACACTACTGGGCATCGCACCCGTGACAGCCTCTGAGAGGATGCAGACAGACCCCACCATTTTTGTCACTCAGACCTCCTGTGCGCACTTCCTGCTGCCTGGCGAACCTGTTTCACGTCTCCAAAGCAGGCTTTACTAAAAGTTTCGTTCTTGGCCGCTCAGAGCCTGCAGCGGGGAGATCTCAAGGAAGGTTTTGTGATGAACTTACACCTGACAGTTGATTCAGAAACATCTGTAGGTTGTTTACTGTGAGCAAGGCGCCTCGCTAAGTGCTGTTGGGAATATAGCTATGCAGGACAGACACACCCACAGTACTGCACACTCTTCCTGCCTCTTCTGTCCAGCAGGCCTCGTCTTCTCTGCTCATCGTAACCCCAGGAGCCCTTCAGATCCCTCCCCAAAGGCCATCATCTGCCCTAAAGCCTTCCCCAACTCCACGCTGAGTCACTCCCGCCCTCAAGCCCCTCTCCCGCAGTGTGGCATGCCCAGTCTCAATCTACTCCACAGACCTCTCTGACGGGGCTCAGGTGGGTGGTATCACACATGGTCTGGCCCACAGAACATGCATGAACCTCAGAACTCTACCCCCGGCCCCACAGGGAGAAAGATGCCCCCTGTCACTGAGCATGATGGGGCAGGGGGTGGGGGGTGGTGTGAGCTGGTTTTCAACAAATACTCAGAGTTAGTAGGAAGTCAGGCACTGCTTCTAATAAGACATTATTGAACCTCTTTTTTTTTTAATGAAATACCATTGATAAATTATTCAAGTCAGAAACAAGAACACAGAGGATCATCACATATACACTTGAGCACAAGAGATCTGGGCTGAGCACACATCCCCGGGGATCCTGGAGTTGTCCATTCTGGGTCTGCTATGACCCTGCTGAGGCCTATCTTACAGTGTCTGTCCCCACAAGTGACAAGGAGGGAGCCCCGGGTGAGGAGCCCTTGGTAATGCAGATCATCTAGCCCCTTAGACCCTTCCTGCCAGCCCCTCTGCAGCCTGGAGCAGGGAGGCAGGTTTAGCCCGGACCTCCAGGCAAGGAGCAGGGTGAGGAGCTGAGGGCAGAAGTGTCCTTCAGGAAGCTGGTGAGGGAGCTTCGGGAGTGTGGTCCTTTGGTGGACAGTCAAGGGGTCAGATGACGCAGGGCGGCCTGCAGGGACTTCCTCAGGAAAGTGGTGTTAAGCTCCACAGCTGCGGCCAGGCCCAGCTTCTGGGGCTCGGTGATCTGGAAAGAAGGAACAGTCATGCCAGGACTCCAGCAACTGATCCCTCCCCTCCCGTACCCTGCCCCTGGGCTCTGCTTAGTTAGAAGAGAGAAATCCAGGACCCAGGGACAATTGAAGATGACTCCCTGCGAAATCTAACTTCCATTAGATGCTACCATGATCAGGGGATGTGACCTTGGGCAAGTTACTGCGTCTCAGTTTCCTCATCTATAAAATAGAGCCAATAATAGTATCTTCTCACAGGAATAAACTAGCAAGTTAACATATGTAAAGGGCTTAGAAGGATGTCTGGAATATAGAAGGGGCTACAAGTATCAGGTCAGAATTTTAGCTCTCTAACCTTATCCCCCACGACCATCCACTCTCTGGTTTTTAGGCCTCAACTACAATGACCTACCTGCAGGTCCCCTCAGACATTCAGTGCTTACACAGTTTATTTGCCTGGAATGCCCTTTCCTCCACCTTGGACTTTAACTACCACCCATCCTTTAAGAGTCAGAAAGCCTGTACCAATTCCCACGACAAACAAGGTTTAGTTGCCCCCTTTTCCTCTGCCATCAGATGCCCTGTGCATACCTTCACTTGGCTGCTACCAGATAATACAATGATCTGTTAATCATTTCTCTCCCCTCTCACTAGCCCAGTAGGTGCTGGTGAAGAGGTCAAGTCCAGGACAGAAACTGTGATATCGTGATTGTTGATTCCTAATGCCTCAGAAAGCATCTGGCCTACAGCAGTGTTGGCTGGATGAATGAACTCCTAAGCAGTCTCACTCCTCTATTCTTGGATTTGAACTTGTGGTTTCCCTGGCTAATACTCAGGGTTTTCTCCCGGGCGAACATCAAACACCCTCGTGGCAGGATCAGAGCAGCAGAAGCTGCCCTTGTATGTGCTTAGTCGCTCAGTTGTATCTGACTCTGCACCCGCATGAACTGCAGCCTGCCAGGCTCCTCTGTCCATGTGATTCTCCGGACAAGAATACTGGAGTGGGTTGCCATGCCCTCCTCCAGGGGATCTTCCCAACCCAGGGATCAAACCCAGGTCTCCCTCATTGCAGGCAGATTCTTTACTGACTGAGCCAGCAGGGAAGCCCCACACTTGTGGCCCTACCAGTACTCACGTTGGCCTGATACTTGGTCATCACTGTCAGCAGGAGCTTGGCATAGGCCATGGATGTGGTGGCCACTGGCCCCTCTTTACAGAGTTTCTCCATCAACACACTGAACTTCTCAGGGGGCATCTCCACCTGCACACATTAGGAGATGGGCAATAGCACAAGAAAGGGCCTTGGATTCAATCCCCCAACTCCACCACTTCTTAAGCAGGTGACTGTCAACCAAACTGAGCCTCAGGTCACTCTACTAGACTGAGCCTCAGGTTCCACATCTATAAAATGAGGCTCATAATACTGAACTCTGAGGAATTTTAAAATGATTTAATGTTATTATGTAGATAAAGCCTGGCACACAGGGCTCAGAAAAGCAGTGTTCACTGCTGCATAGGCTCAGATTAGGAGCAAGGGGAGGCCGAGGATTTTTAGCCTGGCTTAGTGGTTGAAGGTAAAAGGAATAAGTGGTCCCAAGGGAGTCCTGCCAGTGTAATAACAACACTTCTTCATAATCTTAATAAACACTTATTAGACATTAGGTACCATTCCAGACATGCTATCCCAGTTATACCACTTAAATCTCACCCCAGTTGTACATGGTAGGTGCCATCATCACTCCCCTTTTGCCGATGAGGAAACTGAGGCATAAAGAGGCTAACTACTTGCATTATAAACAAATGAGGCAGACTCTTATGTATTGATATACGGAAAAACTGCCAAAATATCCTATTAGATGAAAAAAGCAAAGTACAGGGCACTTTGTGTTACAGCTTAGAGCTTGGTGCGTTACAATCTATGTAAAAAGCAGGGGAAGAGTAAATTTCAACTTGTGTCCTTGTATATATATATAGCATCTCTGGGAGGGTTCCACTGCAACCAGTAACACCAATTAGCCCTGGGGAGGGGAATCTGGGTGGCTGGGTGGAATTTTTTGACTATATCCTTGTAAGGATATAGTTCAAAGTGTGAACATATGAATCTATTATCTATTCAAAAATAAATTAAATTTATACACACACATCAACAAGTGCCTCCTCCAGGCCACACAGCCAGCAAGAGGCACAGCTGGGATTCACCGTGCAGTCAGCTCTCTGCTCCTGGCCTTTCAAGCCCCAGGACCCTCCTCCCAGTGTCACAGGTACCCTGCTGGAGGGCTGCCATCCTGCTTGCCCCTCCATCACTGAAGTGGTCAGAAGCCCAGGAGCCCCTGTGCGCCCGCAGCACAGCAGCGCTTCTTAGTCCATCCCAAGGCAGCCCACTCACCTGCCGCTCCAGGAGTGACTGCAGCACCAAGAAAGTCTCCTCCTTCCAGGGCAGCTCTGAGATCCGTCTGCAAGCACAGGCCCCAGTGAGCAGAGCTCAGCCTCCCACCAAGCCTGGGGATCTACCGCTCCTACCCCAAGGCCAGGCCCTAGGGACAGCTAAGATCCCCAGCCACAGAGGAAGTAGTCAGGGCCCCTGATGCTGGCGGCCAGGTAGGAGCCGCTGCTGCAGTGCCGGGAAGGCCATGGCCCCAGACCCCTGGGAGCTGACAGTGGTGGCTTTGCTGATAGGTACAATGGTTCCCTGAAAAATGACCAAGAGTCGAGAGTGCATCCTGAGCAAAAAGGGGAGGATGAGCCAGGGAAGAGGAGGAGGATGATGATGGGTGAGATGACACATGTGAGTCTTCGGAGAGAAGGCGAGCCCTCCCTGCAGAGCCCAGCCTTCGGTGAGGTCCGCTCCAGCTGTGCCTCCTGTCCTCCGCTTGTTGGGAAAGGCAGGATGTCACATGGAAGCAGTGTGCCTTCCCGGGTGCACAGACTCGGGTCTGAGGCCAGGCTTTTGCACTTGCTGTAGCTGTGTGACCTTTGGCCACGTCCTGCAGCCTCTCTGAGCTTCAGTTTTTCCATCTCTAAGGTGACAGCAGCACAGGACTGCATGAAGACTGAAGTAACGAATTGAAAGCACAGAGAAAGTCCTCGGTAACAGGTGGCTAGTAGCTTTTGGAGACTGTCCCCTTCTCATGTGATACTTAGCATTTTATATTTCATGTTGGTGTCCAATGGGGTCTCACCTACTCATTAATTTCTACATGTCTGTACTTAACTCCCCAATTTGATGCCAAAATTTAACATCAATTTTATAACAGTATTTGAGCACTTACTAGGTGCCAAATACTGTGCTGAGGGCTTCATGTGCATTATCACACTTAATATCTAGAAAAATCCTACACAGTTAATGTGTGGAAGCAGAGGCTCAGAGAGATAGAACAACCTGATTAAACTTGCACATTTAAAGGCAAAGTTGAAAGATTAAAAAAATAAAAGGCAAGGTTGAGGTTTTCACCCATGTCTGTCTGACTCCACAGCCAGTGCTCTGAACCATGATGTCATGTTCCAACTATGCTAAGAACTCAAGAAGAGCAGCACCAGCCTCTTCTCCACATTCCCTGGGGCACCTGGCACAGAAGTCTGGACCCCTGGGCTGGGAAGGGACATGGTGTGGCAACTTACAAGGACCCACAGTGGTCAGGCACAAAGCCGGGCTCAGGTCAGTGAGAGCGGGCATCGGCTGTGCCACTGCCTGTATTTCAGGCACTTTTGGGCACAGGGCCTGGTGCCCAGCCAGCTCCAATTCCAGAATGCCAAGAGCAGGCTTGGCCAGGGGGAGGAGGCATGGGTGGGGCCAGCAGGGGTGCCTGTCACTTACCCCAGCATTAGAACCTGCACATCTGGCGCCAGGGCCTTGTCCTTTGTAAGGCAACACAGTAACTCTGTTTGAGCTGGACCTGGGTGGGCGACAGCAGATAAGAGAAGTCTGGGGGAAGATGGCAGGAGAGGAGGGGGCTGGCAGGGAACAAAATGCCTGGGTCATTATAGGTGGCAACGTCAGGGAAGCAACTGGTATCTTTACTCCTTGAATACCCAACTTCTGCCAGGACCACCCAGGGGAGGTGAAGGGTGCTGGGAAGAGAAAGGGCAGAGCTACAGGGCGTGGGGCCTGTCCTAAAATTACCTATTCCTGGGGCTTGGAGCACAGGGCCAAGGAGGGCTCTGCAGACAGCATAGGGATACTTGGTACAGAAGGAGGTCAGGGCAGTCGTGAGCAGGCGGGAGGCTGAGGAAGTCAGGGAGAGAATCTACAGCCAACAGGGAGGAAACTATTAATTGCTTCTTCCGTCCAACAAATGTTTATCAGACACATTTCAGAAGCTCATACATTACACCGGGCTTCCCCAGTGGCTCAGCAGTTAAAGAATCTGCCTGCAATGCAGGAGATGTGGCAGGAGGAGCTGCAGATTCTATCCCTGGGTCAGGAAGATCCCCCGGGGGAGGAAGTGGCAACCCACTCCAGTCCTCTTGCCTGGAAAATCCCATGGACAGAGGAACCTGGCAGGCTACAGTCCATGGGATCACAAAGAATCAGACACGACTGAGCAACTAAACACAAACACATACATTACAGTGACAAAAAAGTTGTTTTATCCAGGACCCACATGGATCCACCCACTGGAAAGGACAAATAGCTCCCTTCCCCAGCTCCCATATCCCTTCAGCTTCTGTAAGGATCTGGGGCCCAAGAGGGATGAGTTAGATGCCCTGTAGGTAGATGGCCTAGGGGTCTATGCCCTTCCCTTGCCCCCAGGACCTGGGACAGGCCAGATGTGTGCAAGGCTGGGAACCCCCTCTGGCATCCTGCTGAGGGCTCAGACTCTCTCCCCGCCGCCCCCCACCCAGTCCCAGACCCTTCATGTGTGTCCCAGAGCACCTACCCGTCCAAGGAAGAGGCTCCTGGTCAGCACAGTGGCATTGCCCAGGCTGAGGTCTGGTGACAGGGCCAGCAGCCAGGTGCAGAGCTGGAGGAGACCTGTGTCCAGGAGCTGCGGGAGCTGCAGCTGGGCACACAGCAGGTCCACCTGCCAAGGACGGGGGAGGGTCCCGGGACACTCAGCCTGCCTTGGCTGGAATGTCTCAAGCCAACCAGGCAGAATGGGCAGGGCCAGGACACCCCAGGGTAAGGTGAGACGGGAGAGCCGCCCTATGGGAACCCAGGGCTAAAAGAAACCACTGCAGGTGACCCCTGCCCCTGAGAGAAGAAAAAACCCAACCAAACCCCCCTCCCCAAATTCCCACATGAGGCAGGGGAACAGAAATTTAAATGGAGACAGGGACCGTGTCCTCGGGGCCAGGCAGGCTTTCTGGACTCACCTGGCCAGGACTGCACTCCTGGAGAAGCTGCAGCTCAGCTGGTGGGGTGCCCTCCAGTCCTTCCAACCCCTGAGAGGGTGAATGCCATGTCAGGGCTGGCAGAGCCCTCAGTGACAAGTCAATTGGCAGAGTGGGTGGGTGAGGACCCCAGAAGGTGCTACTGGAGAACTACTTGCCAGGGGTTAGAACAACATATGTGGGCCAAGAAAAGCCTTCACACGGATGGTTAGACCTTCACTTCCCACCCGCCACCCCCACCGAACAGCTGTGCCTCGCTTCACTGGGGCTTCCCTGGGTGCCACTGGGGTCCAGGAAGCGGTGGACGAAGGGCTGTGGGGAGTAGGGTAGGGCAAGTCACCTTCCCGAGGGTCTTGAGCAGCTGCTGCAGCCTGGGAACCTGGTCCTGCCGAGGAGAGCCCAGTCACTGCCAAGCCCCCACCCGTGCAGAACGGCCCCCAGTCATGGCCATGGCCCCAGCTGGGTCCCAGCCCCCTCTGCCAGAAGGCCCCGGGTCAGTGGGAGCTAGTGGGCAAAGATGACTCAAGAGAGCCAGAACTTGGAAGCCCTAACTTTACAAAGTGCTTCAGAACTCAAACTAGACAAGGGCCCCTGTAAATCCACCTGAATAGATTTGACTTCTTTGCATCCATCCTGATGGGGCTAGACCAGGCCCTGGGCTGGGAGGTCAAGCTGGATGCTGGGACGATCCCCCCATTTCCCATAAGATGGGGCGGCAGGGGTAGATCCAGAGCCTTTCCTCTTCCCCGGCACCCCTGACCTCACAATACTGATCATTAGATCAAGGGGGTCCCACCTCCAGTCCCTCCCTTCCCTACCCTCTTCTCAGAAGCTTATGGAGCAGAAACTACAGTCCTTCAACCCCACCTCCTTCCCCTTGCTCCACAGACTATAGTCATTCCGAAGGGGACAGTGTCCCAACCAGCTTCTGCCCTGTATGAACCCTCCACTCCAAAAGATCACTCCAAAGCAGCCGCCTCACCCTAGTACCTGGATAACTCTGGGCAACTCCAAACCCTCAGGTAGGCCCTTAGCTTCCTTTAGACTCTGACCAGCCTCACTGGGCTCAGGTCCCATGATAGGCTGGTTTGTAATGGATGATGCATCTCCTCCATCAGCCAGGGATTCCGAAGATTCACGTTCAGGTCTCTTCGCCTCATGACCTTCTTCTTCCTCTTCTTCCCTTTCCAAACACCGGAGCCTTTTGGAGGCCCTCTCCCCCCCGGGACTGACAGGCTCTTCCTCTGGCTCCTTCCTGCGTTTCCCAGGCTGCTGGGAGTCCTTGTCCTCCTCCTGCTCTCCTTCCCCTTCGGCATCTGGAACCGGGGGCAACTTCAACTTCCTGCCCCCTTGGCCCAGCCGCTTACAGAGGCCTTGGAGCTGTCTCTGGCACCTTTTAGACAGTAGGGACGCTCCATCAGTGGAGACGCCAGCACTCAGATCCCTTCGCAGAAATTCTCCAAGGGCCCGGAGCCAGGGGTCAGGGTCAGGGCTTGAATCCTGCCTTGCAACCTGCAGCACAGGGAGGAGCCTGCTTTCGGGCAGCGACGGCCAAACAGCCATGAGCAGGGACATCAGGTTTCTCCGGCATAACGGGGGCAATCGCAGTAGCAGCGGTTTCCTGGGTGGCAGAGGGAGGGCACCGTTAGGAGCATCTCGCTGAAAGGAACCCAGGGCAGGCTGGATAGAGTTAGAGGCTAGATGGCACCGGACAGAAGTGGGTAGGGAGCGCTGGAAGGCAGCACCTGAGAGTCAGTGTGGATGGAAGTGGAGACAACATGGAAATCACTCAGCAAGTGAGCATCTATTCTATACTACACTAGGCCCTGTTCTTTGACATCTCCTATTTCAGCTCAAAAATTGGAACCTACCCTGTAACCCATCACTTCATGGCAAATAGATGGGGAAAAAATGGAAACAGTGACAGACTTTATTTTCCTGGGCTCCAAAATCACTGCAGATGGTGATTCGCAGCCATGAAATTAAGATGCTTGCTCCTTGGAAGAAAAGCTGTGACCAACCTAGACAGCATATTAAAAAGCACAGACATTACTTTGCCAACAAAAGTCCATCTAGTCAAAGTTATGATTTTTCCAGTACTCATGTATGGATGTGAGAGCTGGACTATAAATAAAGCTGAGCGCCGAAGAATTGATGCTTTTGAACTGTGGTGTTGGAGAAGACTCTTGAGAGTTCCCTGGACTGCAAGTATATCTACCCAGTCAATCCTAAAGGAAATCAGTCCTGAACATTCATTGGAAGGACTGCCGCTGAAGCTGAAACTCCAAGACTTTGGCCAGCTGATGCGAAGAATTGACTCATTTGAAAAGACCCTGATGTTGGGAAAGATTGAAGGCGAGAGAAGGGTACGACAGAGAATGAGAGGGTTGGATAGCATCACCAAATCAATGGACATGAGTCTGAGAAAACTCTGGGACTTGGTGACGGACAGGGAGGCCTGGCATGCTGCAGTCCATGGGGTCGCAAACGGTTGGACCCACTGTGACTGAACTGAATTGAACTGAACTCTGTAATAGATCCATGCCTGTTTTATGTAAAACAAACAAAAACTACTCTCTGAAATTTTATGTACAAATGATACTCCAGAACGCTGAGTAATGCTTAGTCTGCAGCCCTGTGCTCCCCTCGGCAATCCCTGCAACTCACAGGGTCACCACCCTTCACGCTTCTGCACCTCTCAGTACGTGACTGCTATCTGTCATCACACACAAAGACACTTGGGATATGTGAGGCAGGAAAGAAACCTTTTATTTATTTGTGTGTGTGTGGGGGGGGGGGGGGTTAAAAACACATCTAGAGCAGCGGGTAGCGCCAGCTCCTGCTTCACACGACCCTAGAGGATGAGGGCACCGACAGGGCTGGAGGAACGCGGGCGGACGACTTACAGCTCCAGGCGACAGTCCGGGCCCTCCACGACGGGCTCCTCCTGGCACAGCGCCTCGAGGACGCCGCCCCAGGCAAAGGGCTCCCCGCCGCGGCCGCTCAGTGTCCGCAGCACCCCCAGACCACGCCGCGCCCCGTCGGGCCCGGCCTGCAGCGCCTGCAGCAGGAGGCGGACGGGGGCCTCCAGACGAGCCCAGGGCGCCGCTGGCTCCGCGTCCTCAGCCCGAGCGGGCTCAGCTTCCAAGGCCTCCATGGCCGGGATCGGGGAGTCGCGCCGCCCCGCGCTCCGGCTTCGGGCCTCAGCTCCGGAGCCTGGGAAAAGGGAGGCTGAGGACATTGCCACTCCAGCCAACTTCCCTCCTCAGCGCTGGTGGACGCCCGGCCAGCGCGCGGGACTCCAGTGGTAAGCAAAGGAAGGAAACGGGAGGTGCGGCTAGGGGCGGGGCGCGGGGGAAAGCCGGAAGGGGCGGGGCCGGGATGCGCCGGGACGGAAGCAGGAACCGAGTAGGAGGGTGTCGGCGAAGGCCGACTGCCGGTCTGCTGACGGGGCGGGGCCAGAGTTGGGGCGGGGCTACAAAGAAATAGGCTTGTGGGCGGGGTCATGCAAGAGATTGGGTGGGACAGGGCTTGATGGAGAAGCGGGTCCTTACCTTCCTTCGGGTAAGCGATGAGGGCGGAGGTACAGAATGGGTATCACGGTGCCTGTTGGTTGTATTCAATACTTCTGGATCCAAGCCTTATTTAATTTAAACTGACGCCCATGTTGCTTGTAGATCATGGGCTTTGGCATAGGATTTGGTCATAAAACGCCGTAACGTAAAAGAATAGCAAGGAGAGATAAGAAAGCCTTCCTCAGCGATCAATGCAAAGAAAAAGAGGAAAACAATAGAATGGGAAAGACTAGAGATCTCTTCAAGAAAATTAGAGATACCAAGGGAACATTTCATGCAAAGATGGGCTCGATAAAGGACAGAAATGGTAGGGACCTAACAGAAGCAGAAGATATTAAGAAGAGGTAGCAAGAATACACAGAAGAACTATACAAAAAAGATATTCACGACCCAGATAATCACGATGGTGTGATCACTCACCTAGAGCCAGACATCGTGGAATGTGAAGTCAAGTGGATCTTAGGAAGCATCACTACGAACAAAGCTAGTGGAGGTGATGGAATTCCAGTTGACTATTTCAAATCCTGAAAGATCATGCTGTGAAAGTGCTGCACTCAATATGCCAACAAATATGGAAAACTCAGCAGTGGCCACAGGACTGAAAAGGTCAGTTTTCATCCCAATCCCAAAGAAAAGCAATGCCAAAGAATGCTCAAACTACCACACAATTGCATTCATCTCACACACTAGTAAAGTAATGCTTAAAATTCCCCAAGCCAGGCTTCAGCAATACATGAACTGTGAACTTCCAGATGTTCAAGCTGGTTTTAGAAAAGGCAGAGGAACCAGAGACCCAATTGCCAACATCCGCTGGGTCATCAAAAAAGCAAGAGAGTTCCAGAAAAACATCTATTTCTGCTTTATTGACTATGCCAAAGCCTTTGACTGTGTGGGTCACAATAAACTGTGGAAAATTCTGAAAGAGATGGGAATACCAGACCACCTGACCTGCCTCTTGAGAAACCTGTATGCAGGTTGGGAAGCAACAGTTAGAACTGGACATGGACCAACAGACTAGTTCCAAATAGGAAAAGGAGTACGTCAAGGCTGTATATTGTCACCCTGCTTATTTAACTTAAATGCAGAGTACATCATGAGAAACTCTGGACTGGAGGAAGCACAAGCTGGGATAAAGATTGCCAGGAGAAATATCAATAACCTCAGATATGCAGATGACACCACCCTTATGGCAGAAAGTGAAGAAGAACTAAAGAGCCTCTTGATGAAAGTGAAAGAGGAGAGCGTAAAAGTTGGCTTAAAGCTCAACATTCAGAAAACTAAGATCATGGCATCCGGTCCCATCACTTTATGGCAAATAGATGAGGAAATAGTGGAAACAGTGGCTGACTTTTTCTGGGCTCCAAAATCACTGAACATGGTGATTGCAGCAATGAAATTAAAAGACGCTTACTCCTTGGAAGGAAAGTTATGATCAACCTAGACAGCATATTAAAAAGCAGAGACATTACTTTGTCAACAAAGGTCTGTCTAGTCAAGGCTATGGTTTTTCCAGTGGTCATGTATGGATGTGAGAGTTGGACTATAAACAAATCTGAGCGCTGAAGAATTGATGCTTTTGAACTGTGGTGTTGGAGATGACTCTTGAGAGTCCCTTGGACTGCAAGGAGATCCAACCAGTCCATCCTAAGGGAGATCAGTCCTGGGTGTTCATTGGAAGGACTGATGTTGAAGCTGAAACTCCAATACTTTGGCCACCTCATGCAAAAAGCTGACTCATTGGAAAAGACCCTGATGCTGGGAAAGATTGAGGGCAGGAGGAGAAGGGGACGACAGAGGATGAGATGGTTGGATGGCATCATTGACTCGATGGACATGGGTTTGGGTAGATTCCAGGAGTTGGTGATGGACAGTGAGGCCTGGCGTGCTGCAGTTCATGGGGTTGCAAAAAGTCAGACACGACTGAGCAACTGAACTGAACTGAACTGATGCCCATGTTGCCTGTAGATCATGGGCTGTGGCATAGGATTTGATCATAAAACACTGTAACATCACCTCTTCCCCAGGCCATCAGCTGCCATCCTTTGAGTTTCAGCTCTCTCCAGAAATATTTGATGTATCAGTACACCAGAGAATGGGAATTGCAGTAAAATCTGATGTTATCTATATAGTGAAGAGCCTTGCTACTGTAATCTTCCTCTCAGAGATCAAGAAGTGGCCTTGCTGTGGTTGTTTATAAAGGACCAAGAGGGCCTCCACTTCCCAGTGTTTCAGGTTAGGGAAATCTGGAGGAGGCAAGTCTTCCTGCAAAGGGAGGGATCATAGCAGAGGATGGAAATAAAGGCAGAGGGGAGAAGAGCCCCACGGGACCCCCATAAAGTCTCCTTTGGGTACCAGCTTATATTTCTGTCTTCCGAGCTTCTGCTGCCATGCATACATCCATTCAATCAATAAGCCTTTTACTGATCACCTAGGGCTTAGGATACAGGGAACAAAATAAAGCTCCTTGCCCTTATTGTTGCTGACGCTCAAGAGAGGAAACACACAACAAGTAAACAATAAAATGACTGTTTGTGATAAGAGAGAACAGAGGCCAAGTGAGGTAGTTTTAAATAGGTGGTCAGGCAAGATGAACCTAAAGGAGATAAGGAAGTAAGCCATGTAGAGGTCTGTGAGGAGACCATTTTGGAAAGAATGTTATGGCTAGGCTTTGAGCAGAAGCCTGGCTGGAGCTGAGTGCATCTGCTGGAGAAAAATAGATGAGATTGGAAAGATAACCAGACCAGATTTTGTGAGGCCCTGAGGTCCCAGAGGAAAATTTGTCTTTTACTCTGAATAGTATGGGAAGCCATAGGCATATTTTGAGCTAGATCTGATTTCCATTAGAGTCAGTTTTATAATTTTTTCCAGAATGATTTCAAGGGAGCTACTGGATAGGACTGGACTTCCCAGGTGACTCAGTGGTAAAGAATACACCTGTCAAGAGTCTGGGAACATCCACTAGAGGAGGAAATGGCAGCCCACTCCAGTATTCATGCCTGGGAAATCCTATAGACAGAAGAGCCTGGAGAGCTACAATGCGTGGGATCACAAAGAGCTGGACACAACTGAAGCGACTGAACAACAACACTGGAAAGGAGTAAGGAGGATTTCTTAGATAGTGCCTGCTTCGCAAAGGCCAAAATAGTAGGAAAGAAATTTCTTCCAGGGACCTCTCTCTCAGGCTCTCAGTTCTAGCTTCATAGGAGATGTTTTTGGTCTTCTAATGATGTTGGGGGCAAGGAGTGGGGGAGGCCCTGATAAGTAGTGGGCAGGGCCAAGAATGCTAAGCAGCCTTCAATGCCTTGCCCACCCTCAACAAACAAAGAAAGCTTTACTTTGTAGTTGCTCTAGCTCGTGCCCTTCAAGGTCTGCATTCTAGCCGATGGGAAGGAGATGAGGGAGAAAAGGTCTTAAAAAATGTTCTCTGAGAGCATGGTTCGAGATCCTTTCATGGGATCCCTGACATCGCTCTTCTTTTTAGTACTTATGTTGTTATTTGCCCTTTCTTATCTCATTCTTTTATGGGTATAAAGTGAAGTTTTCCAAAAGTCAAGTCACAAGTGATGCTGCAACAGATTAAGTACAGAAGCAACCCCTTGGTTGGGATGGGGGCACGCCTGGGGTATAAGCAGACTCTTCAGACACCAGGAGTGATGGTTTAGGTACATTTTATTGGTTTCCTTCAGAATCCTTTTACAAAAGAGCAAAGTTAAAAACCAAGTCCCTCCCAAGACATTGAGAAACCCTACCGCCTCCCTATGTTCCCCAGCTGTGTGACTGCTGCAGTTCATGAGGGTGGAGGGCTTGCTACTTTCGTCCCTTACCAAGCCCCCAAAGGGGAAATACCTAGCACCTGGGCACTCCTGCCCCTCAGGCCCATCCCCCAACATTGATCCTGGTTATTGCAGGCAGTGGTCAGAACTATTGGGGTCCAGGAGGCGTTCTGAACCCCAGAAGGCCATTCTCAGGGCACAGTCCATGAAGAACACCTTCTCTTCTGGCTTGGTGCCCCCTAGGAACACTGGTGTGCCCACCACCTGGGAGTAGAAAAAGAAGTACGTGAAAACCCCCCATCAGCTTCAGTTCTAGTCGTGCCTGGTACCAGAGAATCAGGGCTGACACATAGGTTGGGCAGGTTGTACATAGCACACAAGTACCACATCCACACCGGCACCATCGATGTCATGGATATCACACGTAGGTTTTACATTTATCAGACACTTACTATAAAGCATAACTAGCAGACTTCCCAACCTCCAAATCCCTGCTATTACCACCTCACTCACAGAGGCCAGCTGCACACTCTCAGGCCAGAGAGGATCAAAACTCGGGGCCTCATCTGGGAGCTGGTGCAGGTAAATGCAGTCAGATTTGAAAGGGCAGCGGCCATTCCCCCGCATGAAGAACCGGCAGTGAATCTGGCTATGAGAGGGCAGAAGGAGAGAAGATCATCACCTTCAAGCCCAGTTGCCCCAGGAACAAGAGCCAACATGTAAGGTTGGGTAGGTTGTACACAGCACAAAGATGCCACATCCATGCTGGCACCTCTGGCATCATCCTAAAGGAAATCAACCCTGAATATTCATTGGAAGGATTCATGCTGGAGCTGAAGCTCCAATACTCTGACCACCTGACGTGAAGAGCCAACTCATTGGAAAAGACCCTGATGCTGGGAAAGATTGAGGGCAGGAGGAGAAGCAGGCAACAGAGGATGAGATGGTTGGATGGCATCCTCGACTCAATGGACATGAGCTTGAGCAAAGCACAGGAGATGGTGAAGGACAGGGAAGGCTGGTGTGCGGCAGTCCATGGGGTCGCAAAGAATCAGACACGACTTAGCGACTGGAGTGACCTCTGAACAACAAACAACTAGCGTCCTAGTCAAGTGTAGATGTGAATGACAATTATTTCCCAGCAGATGGCAGTAAAGTGTCTTAAGTGGTACCTTTCTCTTAATTCCCAGAGTCTATTTGGGACAGCAGTGATTCTGGGAATCTCCTTTCCTTCTTTGACCTAAGTTTCAATAAAACCACCTAAGGGGGGAGAACAGATAATCCTACAGTGTGTCTTTGTAACTAGAACAATGCTCGCTTCTGAGGGTGGTCTTAAAAGAAAAGTGAAGTTGCTCAGTCGTATCTGACTCTTAGGGACCCCATGGACTGTAACCTGCCAGGCTCCTCTGTCCATGGGGTTTTCCAGGCAAGAAAACTGGAGTGAGTTGCCATTTCCTTATGATTTGGTAATTGCTAGCTAATTAAATTTGATTAAGAAGTTTCTCACTTCTGAGATTTCAAATTTCACTCTGTGAAAGGTCAGATACAGGAAGGGTTTGCGGGCAACTTGTGATCTGCTTAAGTAGGAAGAGCGTTTTCTTGCACAGAAAGATGGATGAGAGGGAGGAAAAGATAAAGTGCTTTATTTGTAGCCTCTTTTCTGCATCATCAACTCTCTGCTTGACACCAGCACTTTTGAGTCTTTCCTACTTCCTGTTGTCCCAGCATGAATGCAGGATCCCTTTGGCCACCAAGCTGGGAACTGGGGAATCCCTCTAAATCACTGCCTCTTTTCCTCTTCTTACCATTTGACCAAAGCTAGCATTAGGAGCCCATCCATCCATCCAGTGATCAAAAGCCCCCCACTCAGCCATGGGACTTCCCTGGCAGTCCAGTGGGTAAGACTCTGCGCTTCCAATGGAGGGGTGATGGGTTCAACTCCTGGTCGGGGAAATAAGATCCCATATGCCTTGCTGCATGACCAAAAGATAAAAAGCCCCCTACTCAATCTGACCACATTCTCCATTAGCCTGTCTCACTTGGTCTCACGTGACACCGCCCTGTGGCTGCCTGTGCTAGAAGCGTTCATCATCTTACAGTTTCCCTTCTCTCACGTGAGCATCCTCCCCACCATTCCTTCTAGTCCACGCTAGGAGTCAGAATGCTGGGGTTCAAGCCCCACTTCCTCACTTAAGCCCTATAGACCTTTCCTCGGTTTCTTCTGCAATGTGAGGACAGTAAGAGTCGGGACAGAAAGAGGAAGAGTTCACAGTGTCTGTGACCTGCAAAGTCTGTCGTATGTAATGAACCCTCCATGATGCTGTCTCCTGTCACACCTGGGCCTCTGTGCTCCCTTCTGCCCTTGACGACTTCTGAACACTCCCAACTGGCATCCAGCCTCCAGGATTTCCCCACTTCGACCCCCCTCTGCCTGAGTGCTTCTATTTTCTCTTCCTCCCTCCTCCTCTTCCAACCCCCAGCTCAAATACCTCCCCCTCTGTGAGACTCCACCTAGGTTTGTTCTCAGCAACTTTGTTGAGGCAGTTATTAGAGTGCACAGACAAAATTCAGGTAGAAACTAGGTCTTTTTATCCCACTCTCTATCCAAATATACTTTGCATACATCAAGTATAATAAACCCTTTGGAAAGGTCAAATTAAGAAGTTGGAATTGTAACTAATTCTAGCTTTTAGATAAAAGCCTACCGTCCCCAAGAGATGAAAACCTATTCAACTTTACCCCGTCTCCAAGGGCTGCGTTTTAGTGTCTTCAGAGACCCCATATTTTCAAAAATTATCTAAGCAAACAATATGTATTCATATCAATTTACTTTCCTGATTTAAATGTCTTCTTTTGGTTTGGCCGTGCTGCACGCCTTGTGGGATCTTAGTTCCCCTGCTAGGGAAAGAATCCCGGGCCCGAGCAGTGAAAACTGAGTCCTAACCACTGGGCTGCCAGGGAATTTCCATACTTTACTGCTTAAAAAAAAAAAAGAAAAGAAAATTAGAAATAAAAGCCAAGCTGGGTTTCTCATCGTGCTGAGAGATCCTGCATGGATCCAGAGCCAGGCTAGAGGATGAACTTGACCCTGACTCTCTCGGTCACTCTTGTTACTCACCGGGCTTTCTGAAACAGTGGAAATAGCTCACACTCTTGCCTGCCATCTCTGCGTTCCTAGGACCAGGGGACACTCCATGCTGGGAACCCCGGGGGAGTGGGAATGGCTCAGGGGTTGCTTTCCTTCCTTCCTAACCTGCATCACATTCTCCCTGCGTTTCACCTGGTCCGAGCTTTGAAGTTCCTGATGAGTTTCTCCTTCTCAGGCCCCTTGCTCACCCAGAATCTGCAGGGGATGATGTAGCTGGAATGGACCCGGCACTGGGGACAGGCCCTGTAAGGTGGGCGGAGAGGGGGCGGGGAGAGTGGAAGGTGAAAGAGGAGTTGTCACAAGCCCACCCCTCCATGGGGCCTTCCCCCCATTCCACACTGGCCTATCCAAGACCCTTACTTAATGATACTGGGCGGGAAGTCCCCTCGGCTCCTCCGCCAAGCGCGCAGGCAGCCCAGGCAGTGGGCGTGGCTGCAGTTGGGCAGGATGCCGAAGATCCGCTGGGCCTCCGGCTTGTCCCACACCTTGTCCATGCAGATGCCACACACGATGTCCTGACTGTCCTGCACTCTCTGCAGCCACAGGCAGGGTCAGAGCACATCCCCTGACCCTGCCCTGCCAACACACAGACACACACAGACGCGCACACACACACACACACATTGCTACCCCAAATACAGCACCAGGACCACAGGGTCCTCCTCCAGCCGGTCTGGGCATCCCATAGGCCCAGCATGGCGTCCTCCCCTCCATCCCCCTCCATACCTGCTGCACCTCAAGGCCAAAGCTCTGAAACAGGGCCAGAAACTCCTGGACAGGATCTGACTGAGGTGGAGGCTTCAGGAAGTAGCGGTGATCACCATCAGCAGCTGTTGGGGAAAAACTAGATCCATTCATTCATTTCCTCACTCATGTGGCATCTACTGAGTGTCCGCTGCATGCAAGGCCCTGTGGGCGCATGAAGTTCTTTCGCCCAGTAGTTCCGAGTCCGTCTCTAACAAAACTGTTTGGACCCGTGCCATTCATTGGGCTTTCCTGGTGGCTCAGAGGGTAAAGAATCTGCCTGCAACACAAGAGACCCTGGTTCCATCCCTGGGTGGGGAAGATACTCTAAAGGAGCAAATGACAACCCACTCCAGTATTCTTGCCTGGAGAATTCAGTGGGCAGAGAAGCCTGGCCAGCTATAGTCCATGGGATCTCAAGGAGTTCAGCACAATGGAGTATGACAGCCACCTGCCATGTGTGGCTATCAAATACTTGGAATGGAGTTAGTCTGAACTCAGATGTGTTGCAAGGGTGAAATACACATGAGATGTTGCAGCTTAATATCCCAAAGAGTCTAAAATGTTTTACTAGTAATTTTATATTGATTACATATAGAAATGACATTGGATATGTAATTTTTGATATATCAGGTCAAAATATTAAATTAATTTCACCCATTGCTTTTTACTCTTTTTAAAATGAGACTACTAGAAAAATTTTAATTACCTATGTGAATTGTAATGGTACAACCACTTTGGAAAACAGTTTGGTGGTTCCTCAAACTATTAAACATAGGGTTAATATATGATCCAGTATACACCCAAGAGAAATGAAAAGATACATCTGCATAAAAATTTGTACATAAGTGTTCATAGAAACATTATTTATAATAGTAAAAAAGCAAAAACCACCCAAGTATCCATCATTTGGTGAATGAATAAAACACAATGTGGTGTATAGCCATACAATGGGGTATTATTTGGCCATAAAAGGGAATGAAGTGGCAACCCACTCCAGTATCCTTGTCTGGGAAATCCCATGGATGGAGGAGCCTGCCAGGCTGCAGTCCATAGGGTCACAAAAGAGCCAGACACAACCAAACAATAGTTCTTATTACACAGGGTATAGTAAGGATTAAATGTACTGTTGCGTGAAAAAAAAAAGGGGGGAATGATGAAATACTTATATATGCTACAACCTGGATGAAACCAGAAAATATTACATACTAAATAAAAGAAACTAGACACAAAACAGCCATAGAATGTGCATGATTCTATTTATACGAAACGTCCAGAATAGGTAAATCCTTAGAGACCAAAAATAGAGTAGTGGTTGCCAGTGGCTGGGAAGGGTTGTGGATGGAGAGTGACTGCTAATGGATTTCCTTGGGGATAATGAAAACCTTCTAAAATTAAATAGTGCTACTAACAAGAACCTACTGTCTAGCATACGGAGCTCTACTCAGTACTCTGAAATGACCTATATGGGAAAAGAATCTAAAAAATCATGGAGATATGTACATATGTAACTGATTCACTTCGTTGTACAGAGGAAATTAACACAACAGTATAAATCAATAGACTCAAGTAAAAGTTAATTTGAAAAACAGTACTATTTATACAATTCTGAACATACTGTACTACATTAAGTTGCACACTTTAAATTGGTGACATTTTTGGTTTGTGAATTATATCTCAATAAAGCTGATTCAAACAATTATATGTTTCTGTTGAACAGCACCGAATTAGAGCAATAATTTAAAAAGCAACCCTTAACATTTAGCGTTTACTCTGTGCCAGGTGCTGGGCTAAGTACATCACACGCACGAATCTGTCACAGTCCTGTGAGGTAGGGAGTATTATCAGTGCCTTTTTGCGGATGAGGCAGTCGAGGCCCAGGGAGGTTAAGGCTAAGTGGGCTTGTTCAAGGTCACACAGTTCCAAAGCGGTGGAGCCAGCGTTTGAAATTAGGTGGTTTCACTCCACAGGCACCATGGTTTCTGCTTCTAGCACACAGAGAGCAACAGAGCCGGAGGAAATTTTCCCTCTGCCTGGGGGGCTTGAGAATGGAGACTGGTGGAAGGAAAGAGCAGCCTTGCTTGGAGACAGAGCAGGGGCCCTGGCCTCAGATCCCACTTGTGCCCACCTGCAGGGCCCCCGATGACTCACATGATAGAGACAGGGGCTTCCGGGAGCTGCCACCAACGTCCTCAACCTTGCTGGACAGCCCCTCCGGGCCAAGCTCCATGTCCGGGTTGGCCCCTATGCGGCCCCAGCTGACAGCCGCAGAGGGCAGGTAGGAGGGCTCGGAGCGCCTGCGGGTCAGCCCCAGCTGGGGCCCTGGCAGGGTGACGTGGGGCTCCGAATGGCGGCGGCCCCACTCGAGGTGATGGGGGGACGGCAGGTGCTGGTAGCTGTTGGGGGGGTGGGGGAAGAGACTCGTGAGAAGACAGAGCTAGCCCTGCCGGGGCTCAGAGCCAGCTTCGCCCAGAACCTGGAGCTTAGACGGTACACAGCAGGCTCTGGGAAGATGCACGGTCCATAAGGGACTGTTCCTCCCGAGTCCCCCAGCCCGCTCCCCACTGGAGGAGAAGAGGTGCAGGCAACTTCCCTGGTGGTCCAGCGGCTAAGACTTCACGCTCCCAGGGCAGGGGGCCCCAGGTTCAATCCCTGGTTGGGGAACTAGATCCTAAACAGCCTGCATGACCCAATGAAGATCAGATATCCTGTGTGCCACAATTAAGACCTAGCACAGCCAACTAACTAACTAACTAAATAAAAATAAATATTAAAAAGAAAAAAAGAGGTGCTTACCTGCATCCATCTCCATGGAAGCAGAAGCCTCGCTGGAAGTACCTGCAGACCCGGGATGCCTTCTGGTCCCGAGGGAAGCAACGGCTGGACCTCCAGTGACAGGGCCCTTGGTCAACATTCCTAAGAGATCATGCCCGGCCCCATTTTAGTCCCTGCCTTTGCGATCCTTCTCGAAAGAGGCTGTGTGACGTGAGGGCTCAGGCTCCAGGCTTGGTCCCGTGTTCAAATCCTGCCTCTGCTGGATAATGATCCCTGGGTGGTAACTCAACTTCCCTAAAGCTTGATTTCCTCACCCTTAAAAACAAGAGTAGCGGGCACTTCCCTGGTGGTCCAGTGGGTAAGACTCTATATCCCAGTGCAGGGGGCCTGGGTTTGATCCCTGGCCAGAGAACTAGATCCCATATGCTGCAACTAAGACTCAGCACAACCAAAAATGAGCAAATAAGCAAATATATTTTAATGAGAGTAACAATGCCTCCTGTTACCCCAGGGTCATTGTGAGGGTTTTTTGAGATTTCATACAATGTACACAGCAGGTGCTTAGTAAATCATAGTGATCATTGTTACTTTCTCCAGACACAGAGTCTCCTGGGCTCTGGAGTCAGAATTCTGGGTTCAGTTTCTGGAACCAGGGCTGGCTCTATGAGCATGAACCCATGTGGTCACGCAGGGACCCCCACCCTTGCTTCAAAGCTCTGCTGTTGCTGCCTTGAAATTATTAAATTTTTGGACAAGAGGCCTTGATTTTCTTTTTGTGCTGGGTCCCACAGGTGACATAGCCAGTTCTGCCTGGTTCTGCCAAGAACAACCACTACTTCTTGGTTGTGTGAGCTTGCCCATGCCTCAGTCTCTTCATTTATAAATTACTAGTACCTACTTCACGGGATGATGCAAAATGCAAATGAGATATTGTATGTATAGTATAGCTATCCCTTGGTATCCATGGGAGGTGGGTTCCAGAACCCCCACACTCATCAAAATCCACAGATGCTCAAGTTCCTTATATGAAATGGAAGAGTATTTGCATATATACTTTTAAGTCATCTCTAGATCACTTATAAACCTAATACAATGTAAATACTATGTAAATATTGGCTGCAAATTCAAGTTTTGTTTTTTGGAACTTCCCAGGATTTTTTTTTTCCCAAATATTTTCAATCTGTGGTTGTTTTAATCCTTGGGGTCAGAACCCACACGGCCAATTATACCTAGCACACAGCAAGCCCTCAATAAATATTAGCTGTTCTTATCACTCTTCCATCATCAACATCATAGTCACAGTTACTACAGGGACACTTGAGGGTCAGGGTGTGAGGTGGGAAGGGCAGGAGAAGGCAGAGTTGGGCCAGCACCTATTGAGAATCACTGTGTGTTCAGGCCTGCGCCAGGGCTCCGGGGACCTCGGCTCTTGTTGGGTGCTGCCTTGCTGGGAGCGGGAAGGAGCCCACCTGTGAAGTGGGCAGGGCAGCAGGGGTGGGGACAGAGGCCGGACTCTTGTCCTGCGAGAAAACAGACTGCCAGCCAATGCCAGGGCTCTGCCATAGAGTTGCCCCCACCACTCCCTGGAGAATGTCCAAGGGGGCCCTGGCAGAGGAACAGGGGGAGGAAGGAAACGACGGGCGACTCAGTCTTGCTGGTGAAGGTACCAGGTTGTCCAGCACGTGGTCCTTTGTTTATGACAACGTGTGGAGCCCCTGGACGGGGAACTCGCCTGCGGAGCTCCCGGAATTGACGGAGCCGAGGTTCGACAAACCAGCGCCACGAACAGGGGGAGGCAAGTGAGGCGCTCACCTTGGACACAAAATTTCAACAGATGCCCCAAATAGTCATGAAAGGAAATGATATTTTAGTATGATTTTTAAAAGATATAAATTAATGCAGAAAAAAAAATCCACAACGGGGCTTCCCTGGTGGCTCAGTGGTAAGGAATCCACCTGCAACGCAGGAGACATGGGTCTGATCCCTGGTCCAGGAAGATTCTACATGCAGTGGGACAGCTAAGCCCATGTGCCACAACTACTGAGCCTGTGCTCTAGAGCCCAGGAAAGCCACAAATACTGAAGCCCGTACATCCTAGAACTCATGCTCTGCAACAAGAGAAGGCACTGCAGTGAGAAGCCCAGACACCACAACCAGAGAAAAGCCAGCGCAGCAATGAAGACCCAGAACAGCCAGAAATAAAATAAATAAAACATCCACAATGAACAAAATAGCAAAGCTTTAAATAAAGATAGGACTCAACCCTGCATAATTTACCATCCCCGCCTCCCCCAGTCCTGGCCTTGCAACAAGGGCAGACATAACCAAGACAAGTACAGACGGTAGAAAGGTTGCAGGCAGAAATAAAAGGCTGGCAGGGTGGGGACACACTTTAGACAAGATGGTCAGGGAGGGTCTTTGAGGAGGTGCTAGTAGTAATAAACATTACTACAATGATTATTGTCATACAATATAATAGCTGTAGTTATTATTGTTGGTTATTTTTACAAAAGCTGTTTTGAGGGTAAGGAGGGTCATGTAAGATCATTAAACAGTAACTTTTGATTTTAATTCAGACCACTACATCATTTTTGGCATTTAATTCAGAAGAAATTCAAAGAATCGAGTGTCCCTACTGTAACAAATCACTTTCATTTCCATTTGCTTATTTATGTGAACAAGATTTATCAGTGTTTCCATTCATCAATATTAGAAATAGAAATCGATGTTGATAGCACAACATTGTAAATCAACTATGCCCTAATAAAATTTTTAAAAAATTGAATGACAAAAAAAAATTGATGTTGAATCCTGTCTTATTCTAACAATAAGTAATGTTTATCCATGGATTCATGAGCTTTTTTGACAGGGGGAAGCAACAACTTCAACTAAATTTTCTACAGAAAATTTTCTAATTTAGTAATTAACTGTTTAAGTGTGTAGGGAATTCCCTGGCAGTCCAGTGTTTAGGACTAGGCGCTTTCACGGCCGGGATCTGGGGTTCAATCCCTGGTGGGAGAACTAAGATCCTGCAAGCCGTGAGGCACAACCCCCTCCCCCCCCAAAAAGGGGGGTTATTGAGTACTTCCAGTAACTAAATCTAGAAAAAAATCATATTTCTGTCTCATAAATATCTTTGTTGCAGGAGCAAATACTATTGTGATCAGTAAAAGGTTTCTGAGAATAAAAAATATTTTCTTAGGGACTTCCCTGGTCATCCAGTGGTTAGGGATCCACCTTGCTATGCAGGGGACAAGGCTTCGACCCCGACCCCGGGTTGGGGAACTCAGATCCCACACACCTCAGTGATCTGCAGCTAGAGAAGCCTGCATGTCACAGCGAAGAGCCTGTGCACCACATCCAAACCCCCACAAGGCCAAATACATAAAAACAGTACTATAAAATTCTGGGGGGGGAAGTGCAATAGGCATTTAAGGAGAAAAAGGAATTATGTAAAACTGTAAAGAGCCTGCTTATGTATTTTTTAAATGGATGACATTATATGTTAACTCTCTGGGATTTAGACACCACTGGATACAGGAAAAGAATAATATATTTATTCAGATCCACACTGCTCACCTGCCCTTGCCCGTCAGCTGCCCACACAGCAAGCTCATTAGTAGGACCTAAAGCAAGCAGCCTGAAATAGCTTAGGTTGAAATTCTACACAGAGCCCAGCCAGCCCCAGCCCAGTACCCCATGGTGTCTTTTAATCGTTATCACTGCCTGGCTTGGAAAAATGGACAAGTTCCTCTAGGAAGATTAAAGGCAAATTCTTGTGGGCTGAGAGCTTTGAACACATCCCTCAAAATCTTGCCTGAGGCGCCAGCCTTGGAGAAAGAAGATTCAGAAATGGTGAAAAAGCATTTGATTTAGTGATGTAGCGTCTCTAAAAACAACTCTTAAAACTCTTTTGGAATGAAAAAAGAATAATTGTTTTATTTTAAAATGGGACTATTTAGTGGACTTCTCTGCTGGTCCAGTGGTTAGGAATCTGCCCGGCATTGCAGGGGACATGGGATCGATCCCTGGTTGGGGAACTAATATCTCCCACATGCCGCAGAGCAACTGAGCCCGAGTGCTACAACCAAAATCCTGTATGCCGCAACTAAGACCCAGTGCAGCCAAATAAATAAATATTTTTTTAAAATGGGACTATTTAGAATACATTAGAAATTTAACTTTTGCAACAATTTACATTGTGATGAAAACCATTAGATAACTTGGAGATTGAAGGGGAAACATGCTTTTTCAAATTTCTTTTAGGTTTATAGAAGATGCCAGTCCTGCTATGTTGCCACTCCCAATTACAAGTTGGAGAGTAAATAGGAAAAGGCTGGAGTAGGGGATGGACTAGGTCAGTGGTGACCACCAGATTAGCGAGGCTGGAGGGTGGATGGAGGTTGGGTTAAGTGGTGAGGTAGAAATGACAAGCACTGGGGAAAGGCTGAGGGACCCAAGAGGAAGAGCCTCTCATCTCCCAGGGGAAGAGCCGGTGGCCCTCAAAGGAAGGGCTTGCAAGCCTCCTGTCCTAGGTCCCCAAAGCTTTGCTTTCCCTAAAGACCACCAATGAGGCTGACCTCCAGGACTGCCTGGAGAGGCTACAACACTAGCTCTGTCACAAGCTGAGAGGTTCAGTGACAGAGCTCTCCCAGCAGGTCCAGAGGGGCTCTTAGACCATCAAATGAGCCACAACAAAAGAGGCTAGGGGCTTAGTGATCAAATAGATTTGAGAAACTCCTCCTTCTGTATTTTCTTAGAGTCATGTTGTATATTGCTTATTGTCTATGAACATCTTAAAGGCTCTGATAAGCCCTGCAAAGGAAATCTGTTTGATTTCACCCAGCATTGCTTAAACTTGTTTCTGTTGCTATTTGTTTAGGTCTTCTACCCACACAGCCTTGATATATCAATAAAATACATTTGGTTTGGAGGAAATGGCGGATTAGTTCATTTAATCCTCAAAACAAACCTTAAAAGGCAGGAGTCCTCTTTTGTTTACAAAATCTGAGGCTGAGAGAGGTCAAGTAACTGGCCTGGGATTCAGAACAAGAGTTAAGGCTATAACCCAGGTGTGGCCACTCTGCACAGTATTTAGTTAACCAAGATTGAATTGCCAGGGGTGAGGGCCGCTGGATTTGGGGAAGTTTCTGAAGCCGACTTCTGGGGACAGAGCAGCCAGAGGTCACAGGTAATCCACGCCTGGGGAGGCAGCAGGAGCATCTGGGTGGCCGGGAGGCCAGAGCAGTGGACCCCCGAGCAGTGGGCCTGGGGAATCAGGACTGGCCTGCTGAGCGGGAGCAGAGGGTGCGGCGGAGAGCAGGGACCAGGAGGTCAGGGCTGGGTGTGGCGGGAGGCGCAGCCGGCCACATCCTGACCGGGATTCTTAAAACTGGAGAGCCCTTGGGACTCCCCTGGTGGTCCAGTGGTTAAGAATCCGCCTGCCAATGCAGGGGACACAGGTTTTGTCTCTGCTCTGGGAGGATTCCACAAACCGCAGGGCAACGAAGCCCATGCGTCACAACTTCTGAACCCTTGCCCAAAGCCTGTGCTCCATATCAAGAGAAGCCCGCGCCCCGCAACAGACCCAGTGCAGCCAATAAATAAATAAAAACTTCAGAACTCAGACTTAGTCTAGCATGCCACCTTCCTTCCTGAGTTTTGGGCAGGGCCAGAAACAACTGAAAATCTTTAGTAAAAGTCCGTCTTCCTTTTTTTGCCTTCCCCTTGCTATCAGATCACCTTTCTTCCCAGCCTGGGGAAATCACTTCACACAGAGACCCTAAGGTCTACAGCGATCCCTCTTTAGGGAGAATGGTCCCTCCTTTACCCACACTTCAGTTCTCTTTGGGGAACTGAGCTCTTCCAGCTGTTGGGAAAATGAATGTGTTTTAAGGTCTGAATGTTTGATGGGAGGACTAGTGAGCTAGCATACCCAAAGGAATGACTCTCTAATGGTGTAATGTTCAACCTGAAGTATTTCCATTCAAATGCTTGGGAACACCTGGCATTAGGCTGCATGCAGGGGCTACAAAGGTGACCGGGAGCACGGGTCCCACCACAGAGAGCTGCATGGTGCTGCTGGGCAGAAAAACCTTTGCTGTATAAAGAGAAAAAAGACAAGTGTGGAATCTGCTCTGAATGGTCAGACCCGGAGCTGGCTCTGATTGAGCTGTGTAGCCTTGGTGTGTCTTATCCCCTCTGGTCTCAGTCTCCTCCTCTGGACTACGAGGGAGTGAGAGGTCATCTCTAGACCCTTCCTGCATGGGGGAGGGGGCTAGGAAGCCCCATCTCCCACTTGATGAACCCCAATTCTTTAAGACTGAGCTTTCAATGGCCAGAAGGAACTCAAAAGAAATCTCCCCCACTTCCCCTGTGTTCTCCCAAAACCCAGACCCTTACCTGCGTGGCCGCTGGGAGTAGGGGCTGCTCCCCCCACCTCGGCCACCACCATCGGGCCCGGCAGAGTCCATCCCAGCTGTGGCCCCTCATGAGAATCAGGTAGGGCTGGTGCTCCTTTATCCCTCCTTCTCTGGGCAGGACCAATGGGAGGAGGGGCTGGGAAACGCGGCCCACCCCTCCCCATGGCCCCAGGCCTGCGTGAGGTGGGAAGGAGTGTAGAGCAGGATGACTGGAAGGCTAGGGGCCTGGGGGCTCTAGCTGCCCTGTTTAGGCTGCAGGACATAGGTGGAGCGGGGCAGGAAGGCCTTGGGGGATCCCTAGATGATTTCTGGAGGAAACGGGGGGATGGGTTAAGGACTTTGAAGGTTTCAGCAAGGGCCACAATGAGAGGTGGCCAGGAGGGGCTTCCCTAAGACTCTAACGAGGAAGCTCCAGATTGGATGATATCAAATCAGCCCATCAGACCTCTTTGAGGTAGTTTAACTGGCTGGTGGATTCCTAGCTTGCATTCTGGAGACCTAGGGGCTGGACCCACAGACAGCAGGGAGTGAGGGGAAAGGGGACCACGAACTCTAAGAACCCCTCAGTTCCTGTCTTAGTCCTCCAAAGCCCACGTTCTCTTCACGGGACTGCAATGCCCGATGTAGGAGATAAGTTGGGAAAGTTAAAAGGACCAAACAAGAGGAATTAGGAGAGATTTTTCCTTTTAGGTATTTATATACTTGTCTGGTTCGGGTCCTAGTTGTGGCATGCAGGATCTTTCGTTGTGTGTGGCACGTGGACTTTTCTTGTGGGCTCACTAGTTGCCAAGTGCAGGCTTAGTTGCTACGTGGCATGTGGGATCTTCGCTCCCTGTCCAGGGATTGAACCCATGACCTCTGCACTGGAAGGCAGATTCTTAACCACTGGACCACCAGGCAAGTCCCAAAGGAAAGATTTTTACGCTGAATTTAAACAACTTCTTCTGTTGTCTAACTAGTTTGGGAGATCAACAGGACATCACTGTTCTTTCTTTAACTTTTGCTGGATCAAAATTACTTAAAATAATTCTTACAGGTGCTGTCGATCTGCCCTCTATAGAGGCTGTGCCAGATTTTACTTCCACCAACAGTATGAGATTCTGCATATAATATAATCAAACTTGTTGGTATTTGTTAATTTGTTATGTAAAACAACAGTATCTCATTGTGGCTTTTAAAAATTCACTTTTATTTCTTTTTGGCTGTGCTGAGTGGGCTTTTCTCCAGTTTGGGAGAGCGGGCGCTGCTCTCCAGTCGCAGTTCGTGGGCGTTCTCATCGTGGCAGCGTGCCCTGTTGCGGAGCACAGGCTCTGGGGTGAGCAGGCTTCAGCAGCGGAGGGACGTGGCTCGGAGGTTGTGGCCCCCAGGCTCTGAAACACAGGCTCAGTGTGACGCAGGGTTTAGTTGCCCCGAGGCACATGGGATGGGATCTTCCTGGATCAGGGATCGAAGCGTGTCTCCTGAATTGGCAGGCGGATTCTTTATCACTGAGCCGCCAGGGAAGCCCTCATTGTAGTTTTAACTTGTATTTCTTCTCCTATGAGAATAAGGACCTCTCCCTATATTTTAGAGGCATTGCTCTTCCTGCTCAAATCCTTTGCCCATTTTTCGATTGGGTTGCTGCACTTCAACATATCAATTTGTAGGTAGCTTTTGTCTTACTGTGTCACACATTTTAAAATATGGTTGATTTAAAGGTTTTCCCTTATGTTCCCCCTCAACAGAAGAAAATTTTTAAATGTGTAGATAGTAAGATAATATCTTTTTATTATATAGATTCTAAGTTTTGCATATACCCCCTGGAACTTAAGACATTTTTGGGTGTACAATAAATTTCACGTGTTTCAAAAAATATCTGAAACGTCTATTCATCAAATTTATCCATTTTCCTGTTGATGAACATTTTTGTCGTTTTTAAGTTTTTGCTCTTGGTGTAATGAACACGTATGCGAGTCTTGGTATAATTTGGTGGTGGTGTTGTTGGGCTGGCTTCCCTATGATAGATTTGGAGTTTTACCTACAGGACACTCACTGGGGAGTGCGTTTGAGAACAGGCCCCGTTAAGAAACTGAAGGAGAAGCTGTGGTACATATACACCATGGAATATTACTCAGCCATTAAAAAGAATTCATTTGAATCAGTTCTAATGAGATGGATGAAACTGGAGCCCATTATACAGAGCGAAGTAAGCCAGAAAGATAAAGACCATTACAGTATACTAACACATATATATGGAATTTAGAAAGATGGTAACGATAACCCTATATGCAAAACAGAAAAAGAGACTCCGATGTATAGAACAGACTTGTGGACTCTGGGAGAAGGCGAGGGTGGGATGTTTCAAGAGAACAGCATCGAAACACGTATATTATCTAGGGTGAAACAGATCACCAGCCCAGGTTGGGTGCATGAGACAAGTGCTCGGGCCTGGTGCACTGGGAAGACCCAGAGGGATCGGGTGGAGAGGGAGGTGGGAGGGGGGACCGGGATGGGGAATACATATAAATCCATGGCTAATTCATTTCAATGTATGACAAAAACCACTGCAATGATGTAAAGTAATTAGCCTCCAACTAATAAAAATAAATGAATAAATAAATAAATAAATAAAGTGTTATATTTTTAACACTTGTATTAAAAACTTAATTTGCTCTGAAAAAAAAAAAAAAAGAAACTGAAGGAGGCAGGACTGGGTAGAGACAGAAGTTAAACCGTGATGCAGTGGCAACAGAAGCTTCCACTCGGGAGCTGGGATGATTCTTTCCGTCGTCTCAAATTCGGATGGTGGGGCTTGCACTGTCCCCACACATGGGCTACAGGCTGCTCCTGAGGAGATGTTCTTATTCTGAGCAAGGAGGCTCCCTTCACTACAGGCCATTTCCTGAGAGGAACTCAGCTACGAGCCAGGCAGTCACGGGCCTCAGGGATGCTCAGGGGTGGAGCCTGGGTGATTCCTCAAGCTTCCACGGGTGTATGTTAACGCTATGACATTATGACGTTTCGCCAAATTGTTTTTCAAGTTGATTGTATCAACTTCTACTCCCTTCTGCAGTATATGAGAATTTGTATTGTTATTCTTCCTTTCCACATTTTTGGTTTTCCTGTGGGTTTTTTTTTCTTAATGATTTCTATAGATCTTTTTTTGAGGTGCAAAAAATGACCTCTTTGGCTGTCTCTGATGTTTTAAAACTCACTAAGTTTCTTTCTCCGGAAATTCCAAGCATTTCTTTAAAAATGTTTATCATTTTTTTTCCCCTTGAAAAGCAAACTATCTTGTGTACAATTTTCATATCTTTATATATTTTTAAATAATGTAAAACTTATTTGGGGGCTTCCCTGGTAGTCCAGTGGGTAAGACTCGGCCCTCCCAATGCAGGGAACACAAGTTCAATCCCTGGTCAGGGAACAAGATCCCACAAGCCACAACTAAGACCCACTGCAGGCAAAATAAACAAAAAAACCAAAAAAACCCCCTGTTTCCTATATTGTAACCAACAGCTGTATTTCTTGATGTCCTGGGGCTCTAATTTCACTGGTTGTTCTGCTCATTTCCATGCAGGTTGCTTCTTCCCCTTTATCATTTTGTGGAAGTTCTGTACTGCCTGTGTTTGTCCTTCAGAAAGGTTTTGTGTCTGCTTCTTCAGGCTCCCCAGGGATATTACCAGCCTGGGGACTTCTTCCTTTATTTAAAAATAAATCTTTACAAGTTTCAGAAGTTTTATAGAGTTATTGCAAAGACGGTATCTTCTAATTCTCTCATGGTTCCTTTCTTCTTTTCTAATCTAAACTTTGGACCCATCTGTCCTGAACCTCTGTGAAGATGGCCCCACTGGCAGTAAAGGAGAAAACCGGGGTGCCAGCGAAGGAGAGCAGTGTTGGGCAGCGATCGCCAGGCTTTGGCTTTGTGAGTCCCGTCCCACTCGAGGCCCAGAGGGACTGGCTCCTCCCGGGCCCTCCGGAGCCCCTCCCAGACCCCCGCCGCCCCAAGCCTGGTTTGTGCTGCGCTTCCACACCCCCCTCTTCCGCTCCCACCCCAAGTGCTTCCTCTGAGTGGGATGGCACCTCCTCAGTCGTCCACAAACCCTGCTGGCCGATGAGCGGTGCCGATGAGCTGGCTGAGGTGCGGGGAATGATGGGCACCCCCACAAGAACCCCAGGCTATTTGCCCAGTGTCTCCCCCTCCGTGCACGGGCTGTGGAAGGGGGGGAGTCCCCCAAGGCCCCCAGGAGAAAGACTATCAAGAACTGAGTTAGTCTAAATCAATTCTTAAATATTTAATTTCCATTTATTTAAAGTTCCATCAGTCTGTATACACTATTTATATTAAAAACACAGGAAGCTGGAGCTCCTAGCAAAAATATACATTTCCATTTTGGAGACTGTTCAGACACTGAGAAGAGCTGCAATCCGCAGTATCAGACCGGGTGAGGGATGAGGATGGCGTGTGTGGCGGGGAGAGAGGGCGGGGAGGGGAGAACAGGGACCAGAAGGGAGAATTTTGCCATAGAGAGTGATTGGGGGGTGTGGAAGGGTCCCTGGGGAAGACGAGACAGGACCCAGGAAGCCTGGGCTCTCACCCCATGTCTCCTGCCACCTTTCTCAGAGACCCCAGCCAGCCCCTCACCCCTCCAGGTCCACTTCCCTCTGGAAAGACAGCCTGGGCGGGCTCTGCTCTCCATTCGGCCAGCCTCCAAGCTGCGTTCCCTCCCCAGGTGGAGGTGGTAAGTGCTCGTCACTGGGGGGAGGAACTGGGCAAGGAGTGGGGCTGGGCCAGGCGAGGTCCTGGTCACCCAAGGCGGTGCAGGGGGAGTTCCAGGCGGCCAGCTGGGCCAAATACAAGGAAAGGGGAGCGCAGCAGAGCTATTGCGACAAATGGGGGTCACAGATGTGCAGGATCTGTGAGCAGGTGCTGGGCTGGGTTCGCAGGGCCCACCCCACTCGCCCACCCAGAGATCTAGCCCAGCCTAGGGAACGGGGCCGAAGTTGTGGGGCCTCCCCTGGCCCCTCTGGGCCCTCACTTGCCTCCAGGAGGGGAGGGAGAGGGGCAAGGA